CCAGCAGCAAGTTGGTACACAAAGGTCACTGGTTTAGAACAAGACTAGCTGTAACTAACTCTACTCAGTGGTAGCCAGCAGTGGTGGAAGGTAACGAAGTATAAAAGTAAAAGTACAGTCAGTTTTACAGTGGATACTTTTTACTTTTACTTCTACATTTGAGAACATGTATCTGTACTTTCTACTCCAGTACATTTTAGATCTGGACTGAAAAGTAAAAAGTACTTTTCTTTTTTTTTTTAGCACATTTAATTTGAGTTTTCATCCCAACTTTGAGCAAACCAAATACACAAAAAACCCAAAAAAAGAAATTAATTGAAAAAATGCTTTACCAAAATCACTATTTCATCCTTTTTTTAATAAAAATATCTGCAATATCTGCTTTTAGTAATCAGTAATTTAAACGTTTTTTATTTAATCCTTTTACTTTTAAGCAACAAAACTGAGTACTTTTGGTAGCCAGACAAAGCAGAACAACGCAGTGTGTGCAAACTGTTCATTTGCATTTTTGTGTCAGATGCCTGGTCTTACTTTGTGCCACAGCCAGTTCACTGGTTTCTAACAAAATAACGACTGGTTGCTTCACCATATGCTCGTCTGTACATATGAAGTAAAATGTTCCACAGTGTGGCATTAAACTTGTCAATTTAGCATTCATTCAAATGCAGATGTTTTTGCACAAAACTGCCTTCAAAAACATGCATTCTTACTGTACTGAGAGTGCTGTCGCCACTCCACAGATGTGACCTATAACTTGACCTGGTCTTGTCACCTGTTGCCTTCACATGGACATTGACAAGTTGGAGGCCATACTGTGGAACTTTCAAAGCATCTCCAAAGAGAAAAATGGTGGACCCTACAGTATGGAAGATAATTTGTTTAATCAGATTTAGAATTTTAAATGCTATTGAACTCTGAAAAAATATGTTTGAATTATTTTTATTCTGAATTTTAGTTGCTGAAATTTTAACTGTAAGTTTTCAGTGTATATAAAATTCAATATTTAAAAAAAAATCACCTTTTAAATATTCAGCACAAATGTTTTCAAGCTGTCAAATTCCTGTAAAATGTGCAGTGAAAAAAAATCGCCCGAAAGATCCAAGATGCCAAGGCAGAAGCAATCGATCCAATGTGATCCGATCTAACTTAGTAACCAAGCAGGAAATGGTGCAGTGAAGCGATCTGATTGGTCAGAATTAGCCTCATTAAAACCTCCTCTCTTTAATTTCTTATGTGTAAACCCCGCCCACAGATGAGAACAGCCAATAGAAAACAGTCCTCCTCACTCACACGATCGATTGCTTTGGCCTTGGCATCTTGGCTCATTGTTGTTAAATTTTTCACTGCGAATTTTACACTCTGAATTTTGACTTTTGAATTTAATGGCTTGAAAATATATGTTGTGAAATTTTTGTTTTAAATTTGAAACATATTGAAAAAGTATACTTAAATTTTCAGCAACAAACATTCAGAATATAAATAATTCAAACATCTTGTATCAGAGTTAAAAAAAAATAAATCAAACTGAGTAATTCAACAGTAACATATTCCAAGTTACATGCACCCAAGGATTCAGGTGAAATCACAGACTGTGTATATACATTTTTACATTTTATACTTTTACATTTTTTCCATACAGTCTATGGGTGAAATATTTTTCGAAGGTTAGCAACCAAATGCTAATTAGCTAGCCAATCCCTCAAAGCAATCAGATTTTCCTCCATGTTAACAGAACGAAAAAGTGAAAATACCAAATGCTCTCAAATGATTTACTGACCACAAGGACTCCATATGAAGCTGAGTAAGTGCAATTATGAAAATGTCTTTAACTTCTGACACAAATTATAATTTTGCTATATCTAAAATGATGTGTACATGTAGAAAGAGTAATGGCAAACATTTTTTACTGTTTTGACTGGACACAAATCGGAGAAAGCAAAGAATATATGTGATTACGACTTCTTAATCAGTGTAAAGAACTGTGTTTGATTGTGAATTGAACTTGCCTCCACATTTCAGGGCCGAAAGAGAATATTTGGATAGAGGAGCGGAGGGCAGGTGAGCCGGAATGACATCGGGTGTGTTTGTAACCTGGCACCAGCGCGTCCCTGCAGACTCCGCACAGGTGGAGACAAGCCCACACCAAGCCGGCACCAGGAAATGGGAAAGATGACACTCCAAAACACGCCATTCAGACAATACATCCACAATGAGTCAACGGGCCAACGGATACACAAGTAATGCTTTATTTTGGGGGGATTACAGCATATATCCAGGCAAGGAGTGGTTAAATAATTGTAAAAATAAGATAAGCCTACAACTCCTGTCTCAAATGAACTGATGTATTCTCTGTAAGCTCAGAAATGTAAAAACTTAACTCCACAAAAGCCTACATAGCATTTTTAATCCTTATCAAATACTTTACATTATGTATAGATCGTCAGTAACAGTAACAGTAACTAAACCAGGAAACAAATTCTGAATTCCCACATACTACATCTCTAGGGTGACCAGATTTTCAGAATTCAAAAGTGGGACACACCTGGGTTGGGATGTTTGGTATAAATAAAATCATGAAAAGAGCGTGCAACATTCTTTATTCTCGTGTCACTCATAATCTGAGGGGGTTCTGTCGCTGCATTTATTTTTTTATTTTTTGCTTTAAAGTCATTTGCAAACATGTTTTTTTGTATTTTGGCTAAACAAATGACAATTCATGCTCCTCTTTACTGTTGGCAGGAATCAGATTATTCAAGAATTGTGATAATCTTGTTTTAGTCCTGGTTTAGACCTGATGTAGTCCTGTTTGGTCTTAGTTTTGTCATGGTTTAAATCAAATTGGTTAAAAAATAGGGACACCTGGGACATTTCTTGTATAAAACTGGGACAAATCACTAGTTTTGGATAAATCTGATGGGACAGGAGACATCAAAAAAGGCTTATGACTGTCCAGGGTAAATAGAGACGTCTGGTCACCCTACACATCTCATCTTTTGACATTGTTTTAATTTTAAGCATTTTTAAGCATTTTAGAAAAGACATGGGTCATTGCATTCTCAGTGTCACTTCCTCTTCTAATGCCATTCTACTGACTCATTCAGACCTACAATAAAATGTGCATTGCATAATAGCCTAATTATTATAACCAATGGCTTCTATTAAGCAATCTTTATTTGTTTATTTTACTAGTTAGCAACAATACAAGTACAAATACAGGTAGAGGTTATAGCCAGAGGAACAACATTTCCATGGAAACAAGCAGCCTTCAGGACAGGTTTTTTGTTTGTTTTGTTTGTGGATATACAAGCCTAGTCACAGAAATGATGCAAGTCTTTTAGTCTAATAAACTAAAAAAAAGTTACATACTGTGGCTTTAAAGGGAAGATTTATATAAACTCCTTGTACAAAACCACAAAAAATGTCATCAGCTAACAACCTGCTCATGATATATTTAATACAGTGTGAATGTTTTTGTGTTTTATTTAGCATGTGTGATTCAAATTTGAGTGAACATAATTACCCGTTTCCTGATAACAAAGCAGCCAGTATGTAAACCCAACCCAAACCTTGAACTTGTGCCTTTAAACCAGCAGTGTTTGGTCTGAAGGGCGACCGTGCTGTTTGTGCTGGTGAGTGAGAGAGTGACCCGTTTGAACCTGACAATGGCTGGGTGCCACTCTCCAGATCCACAAAGCCGCTTTATGTGTGCGCTCAGTGTTAGCGGCGCAGCCTGGATGGACGCATTAGCACTGGACTTAGCAGCCTCACACTGCAACAATACCTTCATTACATGCATTACACTGAAGTGCAGTGTGTTTTTTAAAAAGGCCACTCGCATTGTCTCAGACTCTTTCTGTTCCTTTGTTCTGTTCTTGTGGGAAAAATATCTATACTGATATAAAATGTAGTTAGAATAATGCTTTTTTTAAATAGTTATTCTTTTGTAGATAATGATAATGCCAGACTGCAGAACATTCCAAAGAAAGCAACAACATTTCCATGGAGACAAGAGGGCAGCAGACTCCCCCACTGGAAAAGTTTCACGGTTCACTTTTATCCCTGGCCTACGAAGTCAGCTTAGGGTGACCAGATTTTCAAAATAAAAAGACTGAGACATCCCTGGTTTGGGTTGGTTGGTAATAATAAAATCATGAAACGAGTGCATAATTAAGGGAAATTATGCTCTTGGCACTAATGTGAGTCAGTATAATCACATTTTGTTTCTGTTTTGATTATTTTAAGCAGCTTTTCTGTATTTTACCTAAACAAATATCAACGTATGCCTCTCTTTACTGTTAACAGGTATTAGATTGGTCAAAAACAGGGACACTTGGGAAATTTCTTGTATAAAACTGGGACAAATCACTGGTTTTGGATAAATCTGTTGGGCTCAAAACTGGGACTGTCCCGTGTAAATAGAGACGTCTGGTCAATGGTCACTTTAAGTCAGATATGAAATTAGCTTTGGGTTTATGAACCAGTTGATATGCCTTTTTTTTAAATGGCCAACATACACAGATTGTATGTTGGCGGTTTTAATGGGGAGGTAAGAAACATAACCTAACTTAGCAAACTGTCTATCCAATTAATCATTAAACTACAAAAACTAAAGGCTAATCTACTATTTGGTTATTATCTTTAAAGGTCCAATATTACACATAATATAATGTTGGTACCTCCTCAAAAACATACCCAGACTGTTTTGTTTCAGTCACACATGTTTGAGAAATCTGGGTTTATGAGTCTGTCTGCATCTCCAAATCTCAAAATGCTCTGTTGTGATGTCATGAAGCGGTAGTTCTGGTTAACAGCTACCTTTAGTTCAGAATTGGTTGGCAATTCCAGGGCTGAAATCATCAAAATTATTCTAAAGAAGGTGTATGGAGTTTAAAAACATAGTGGAGCACTTCCTATATTACCACATGACATCACAAGGTATAACAGAGTGTTTTCTATTTGAGAGAAGAACTCACCGTAAATGTGCAGGGTTTTGTGTTCAACATGTGTGAATGAAACAAAACACAAGGCTGGGTATGTTTTTGACATTTTAACATAGATCATAAAATAGCATAATAGGCCTTTTTATTTGGCAAACCGAAACCACATTAAATGGCAAATCCTGTAATTACTTATGCTGCTCCCTAGGATAACTTAAAGCTAACGTTAGCTTCCTTATGTATATGCTAACTGTGCAGAATGTTTAAGATAATTAATCCCATATGAATGTTCAGTGCCTCCTCCACAGTCTCACAGACAGAGAGATGGACTTGTGTAATCAAAATAGTGACGCATGGCAACATAAACCTCGTAGAACAAGTTTGGTCTCCATACGACTCTGTTTGTTTATATCTGTACAAATGTCAACACTGTTATAGACTACTACATGACCAAGCCTAACTGACCAGGCACACAAGGGGATGTGTGGGTGGACCGGCTCAACAGGTCAGACTACTCTCTCAAATGAGCCTGCTGCAGAACCAGTGTTTATTCAGCATCTAACACTCTCTGTTTCGTTTCACTTTTGCTTTCAGGCTAACACAACTGGAGGCTGGAATGTGAGGTTTTAGAGAAGAAGCTCAGTGGCCATTAAACGTTTTTACAGGTGAATTAGCAAGTTGTTACACGGCAGGACATCGTCGTATCCGCCGTAGACGCCACATGTGCCTGTTTAACCCTTTAATGTCCAAACTCTTTAAAACAGACCCCTAATGCAAAGTCGATTTCCAAAGCATTTGACCATGTTATAGCTGTTTCCCCTCAACATTTACTCACTTATAGTTGTATTTGGAGTGATTTGTCCATGTTTCAGCCATCTTTAATCACTTACATTCATGACGCCATTTTGCTGATCAACCCTTGTTTTCTCCATCATGGACATACGCCCGTATGCCCCCTGCTTGGTACTAACGTTGTTTTATTTTCTTAATTTCTGATTTGCGCAGAATTCGGCAGCGTCATGTAGTTATTTTTTTATTTTTTTTATTTTTTTATCCATAGCATTTTAGTGTGATCTGCAGCTATCCATTGTATCCATTGGAGGTGCTGACAAATTCACTGCTCTTTGTTGTGATGATGTTTATGTTTATGCAATGTCAGCTCTCACTGGGCACCGCAGTTTCAACAGATTTGTTTCTTTTATTAAGTCACTTTAGATTAATATTTTGATTTAATAGGTGTAAATTATAACCTAATGATCCACGGGTGTCATTGATTATAAATATATAGCAGACACATGCACAAAATGTTTCCTTTAAATAACACATACTATGCTCAGTCTATATGAGCTTCCTTGAAACATACTTGGGTTTTATTTCAGTCAAGCTGGTCTGAGTACCGGCATCACTCGTTTCGGTGATTTCTATACTTTAATTACTTTAATTACAGTAATAGCCTAATGTAATTCAGAACCATCCATGCACTCAAGAGTACACTATGTAACTTTTCTGGTCTGCCACCTGCTTGTCTCCATGGAGATGTTATTTATTTGTTTGGAATGTTCCACACCACAGTATGGCATGAGGTCAAATGCAAAGGACAACTTGGAGACAATAAAGTGTACCATAACTTTAAGTATATATGAATATGTGAATATAAATTATAGTTTTACACCAGTCAAGAAGCAATTTGTGAGGAAAAGATGAAAAATATGTTGAAAATTACTGTGAGAATTCTATCCAAACAGCACAATTTACACGTACGAAACTATTTGTTTCTGATACTATAAACAATAATTTAAAAAAAAAGGTATTTTCTTATATTTGTAGTTGTCAAAGAATAATTTCTCTGTACATTAGTTTAATAACAGTTTTGTTAGGTAACAGTTATGTAATTCTCTATTATGTCAAGATTTTTTAAAACTTAATGATCTATAATGAACTTTGTTTTAGTAAAATAAGCAGTCTAACCTGACAGGAACTTTAATTAAAATGATTAAACTCCATGATGACACATAGGTAAGACCATAAAGGCCAGGTCTGTAGAGAGGCGAACCCCCTCAGAGTAAGAATGTATGTTTTTCAAAGCACCTTTTTGAGTAATGTGAGTTATACAAGCCATACTGTGGGACATTCCAGGTCAAACAGTAACATCGCAGTTGGAAGAAAAACTGTTTGTTGGAAACCCCACTCACAAAATCTATTTTTTTTTCTATTTTATCAAGCCTCCATGTTAATTTTAGCACTTAAAATTTTCCATCACTATAAAACATCTACCTGCTGGAGGTAATAGACAATAGCCATGCTGCCAATTTATCATTTCAACCTGTTCTCTCCAGCTGAGGGCTACACACATCAGATCCCTGTGTTCTCTGTGAAAGTGAAAGCCTGCGTTTTGAAATAGAGAAACAAAAAGTATAATATGTTCCCTTTAATACAGAACATTTACATCTCTGTATGATCTTACTGCCGCTTGCTTCTGTGCCATCTATTGTTGCTAAATGAAACGTCAGACTTGTCGGGGTCTGTGATGGGGCCGAGAGTGGACAGCAGGGGTTCAGTGAAATGAGATGAAACGTTAATGATCCCTATGGGGGGAATAAGGCCACCACACAAGCTGTACATCAGACCAAATAGGATACACGCAACAGCAAGGGGGACATGCAAATACAGTGGAGCAGTTGAGCGCTTTGTAGACATTTAATGATTAGCTTGGTTACCAGGACGAATCAAAGAGCCATAAATATTCCTTTTATCCGTCTGATCGACCTAGAAGATAATACTAGAACATATTATCAGCTAAAGGTAGATTTATGTGTTTGCAGTCATCATTCATTTTAATACGTAAGTATAAAGTACAGACACCGGAGCAAAAAAATACTCAATAAACTATGAAAAAATCTAATTAAGTTGAAGTATTAAAGTATACAAGTACATGTTTGAAAAAGTACTTAAAGAGTAAAAAGTAAAAGTATTTCAAGCAGATTTTGAGATTTGTAGAGAAATGTAGTGATTTTGGTAAAGATTTATGCAGAAACAATGGAATAGATTACTCTTTTGTAGCTGTTTTAATTTTTCATACTTTCAACCTTTTCAGCAGGTCTCACACAAAATAAAACACTTTTACTTTTAAGTCTTCAAAGTGGAGTAGAAAATACACACACTTTCTCTCATATGTAGTGAAGTAAAAGGATCACTTTACAAAATCTACTTAAGCTTTTACTTTGTTCCATTCCATTGAGTGAGAAGAAATTATCTTATTGAACGAACTATTTGGTGCTTAGACCACAGAGGGATATAACAGCCAAAAATTGTACTGAGATAAGAGTGCTGTTACCTCATAATATAATACAATATAATACTATTACCCAAGTAGAAGTACAAAGTAGAGGTCCAAGAAATTACTCATGTAAAAGTAAAGAAACTACAACTCAAGTAAGACAAGTTGTAAATGTCTGGATGTAATATCTGATTTATAATTTGAAGTGAATGTTTGCTAACTAAAGCTTTAAATATGCTATTGGAAATCTGACATTTTCAAAAGATAGGTGACAAAGAAGTAAGAGAAAGTAAGAGTACACAGGATAAATATATTAAAGTAGGAGGAAACGTATCGTGTCTGAAAACTATTCTGAAAAGTACAGTTGTATTAAAAAATTACAAAACAATCAATGTAAAGTATGATTGATTTATCTCTCTTCAGGGCCTAGAAACTGGCAGTGGAGAAGAAGAGAAAATGAGGAGGCAGTTGCGTTTTGAGATAGCAGAAGATTTGCGGTAAGTTCAAGAAGGGGTGAGTGTATTTACAGTATGAATGACTTTGGGACGTGATTGGTTATGAGCCAAAATCAGCGTGCTGTGATTGTCTGGCAGCGACAGGTAACAGGAAGTAGAAAATGTGGCATGAATTTTAGGATGCATTGTCATTTATTTGTTCCTAGTTTGAGCCTAGTTTTGGTCCTGATAAAGACTTTGGTTTGGTCCTGTTCTAGTCTTGGTTTAGTCCATTTTAGTTTCACTTTTGATCCCACTTTAGTCCTATTTCTTCTGTTATATAAGTGCAAGTGTGAACGCTCCCATAATCTTCCTGGCTCAGTTTATAGTCCATCTTTATTTACTTGGCCATCCTAAAACATCTTATAATTTAATGAAACAAAAATGAGGTCATTTGTCTTCTTGCACAGTAATGAGACATTATCTAATTGTGTTTCAGAAATGTACTTTTAAACGCTCCACTCTTTCTGTATTGGCAAGTCCATTAAAAGCAGTAAGTAAGTAAATACGGTAAGATCCACAACAGCGAACTCCTTTGATTCGTCAGTTTGATTTATCGGCGTTGTAGTGTGGTGCAACATTTCAAAACATTGTGTTAAAGTCACTGATTTACAGCTCAGAAGTACATGTAAACGTATGTCTAAATCAGATAGGGTCTTATGGGGACTTGATGTATCGCCTTGTTACTTTGGCTGTAGTACTCTGTCCCATATTGGCTGTCAGTGTATCTGCAGACATCATTTTTCAAAGTAGAGCTGCATGCTGGCAGAGAGCCTGACCAATGTCCTGCCATACCCTCCTCCATTCTGATTCTCCTCTTCTCTTCTCTCTCTCTCTCTGTCCTGACCTGGCTCGCTTTGATGACATCATAACCGCTACTGTGAGGCAAGAGGAGAAATGGAGACTGCTTACTCAGACCAGATGCGCTGAGAGACAGGAAGTGGATACTAAAACCGGTTTGTTCGCAGGGAAACAAATTGTACAAAAACACATGTCTGACTGATCAAGCAAAATTTACCGGAAATTAGGTGTGGAATAGACATTAAACAAGGATGAAGAGATGTAGTTGGATGTTATAATGGGGTACATGTTTTCATAGTTTGGTCACGGTAAAGACCAGTTGGCAATTTTGAATGGTATGTTTGCCAAAAAGACTTTCTGACTCAATCCATCTCAAAAGAGTTGGTTAATAGTAGCGAGGTTGCCAGGTTTAAAAAGGACGTTAACCAAATGTGCGGTTTGGCTGGTGCACTCTTTATTTCTGTAAGACTTTAAACGTTAGCTTGCCTTACACACAAAGAATCCGATGCAGTCACCAACCACAATGATGGTGCTTTTGGACATTCTCTCCCTATTACCTTCTTCAGTCAGTTCAGAGTATAACAAAATCGAGCACATTCGCTATTTCTTACTAATTTCCAACCATTTCATGGGCCAATAAAACCATTCAAAGGACCAAGCTCAGCCCGCAGGCCCCACTTTGGATAATCCTGGTTTAAAGTTTCCAATATATAAACTTGAATAGCATGTTAGTTTTGCAAAAAGTCAATACCCATATCCTAATACTAACACTGATACTAATTTGTACAATTACTGATAATGAAAAGTTAATTAATTACCAAATTGGACATTTCCTGAACAGTTTTATAAAGTCTAACATGGAAATATTGAAGAAAGTACCATGATTTTGTGTTAGAAGTTACATTATATTGTATTTTTATTATTATTAAAGTGGTATTATCTGGGTTTTTGTTAGTTTAATGGCAACACTACAACAAAGGACAACGTAGAACTATATATTAGGTTTATTTTAGGTGCTGATGACAGTTTTAGTAAGCAGTTATAGTAGAAAGCACCCCCGAAACACACACTTAGGCTGTTTTTCTATGCTTTTACTACTCACTACTTACCTAAATTACAACTCGAATCCTTATCTGAACTTTAAACCATGTTGCTGACCTCATAATAAAAGATTTACAACTTGGGGGACCTGATATCTGTCCTGATAAATTAAGTTCGTATATAGATTTTAGTCCCTGCAGTGTAATAAACACCCACCACTTACTGTACATACTGTAGCTTGACATGATGCAATCCTCTTGTGTGTGTGTGTGTGTGTGTGTGTGCGTGCATGTGTGCGATCAGATAGTGCCCTGTGGGAGGGGCAGCCTACAGGGTACACACACTGAGTTCCATATGACTGTAGTAACCAGGGGCCCTCCCGGTAAACACTGATTGACCTACATCTGAAAGTTGCCATGGCGCTGGATTAATTCACACAGGGTAGTGGTAGTTACATAACTGACCGTTCATAGGCAAAGTGCATTTTTATCTTAGAGGAGGAGGTAAAACAAATTTGAAGTAGCTGACAGTAGTAACGACAGCAGTTAGAGTCAGTGGAAATATAGACTACTGTAACTTCAACACCCACAACTGTAGAGAGTGGCCATGGTACTACTAAATACAATATAGTTGGTCACTTTTTTTGGGGTGTTGAGAGTTGGTTCCTGCTTTAGACCAGTGTATACTATCGCTGTGTCTTCAGGCAAGACACTTCACCCACGTTGCCTTGAAAATAATGTCGTGTGTACGTGAGTAAATGGTAGGGGTTGACGGTGCAAATTGGCAGTCTCGCTTCCGTCAGTCTAGCCCAGGGTAGTTGTGGGTTTAGTAGCACATTACCACCTCTGAGTTTACTGTAAATTGAATAAGAAATGCAATGTGAAAAGTACCTTAGACTGTCCAAAAAAAGTAATAAACAAATCTAATACATGCTTATAATTTCATTTACTTTATAAAATATTGTTGTCTAAATTAAGGAACACAAAATTTTCCATATGTTTTAAGATGGTTGGCTGATGGATAGCCTTTAAGAAATTGATGTGGGGTCAAGGTAAAAAAAATCAACAACTTTTTTTTGTACTTTTACATTGTCATAATAATAAGGTTAGACAAATTTGGGGGGGAAATTAAATCTGAGCTGATAAAAATGAAAACAAGAACATATTTTTACGTCTAGACTACACACACACGGTTTTCTATTAAAAGACAGAATATTTTGTTCTTTGCAGAGGACGTTCTGTCTTCTTTCTGCCAAATTTGTGTCAGATTTAGATTTCAATTAGATTTGCAATATATTGTGCCGCTATATAATTACTTAACCCGACTCAATATTAATATCAATGGAAGTATGAATTTAAAGTTCATATAGTGCACAAAATTGATTGTTGCCCAAGGTTGTTTCCTCCTTGAAAAGAGTTGTGTTGTTTCATTGACACATGTTTGAGCAATCTTGTGTTATTACCAGTCTGTCTACATCTCCAAAACTCAGAATGTTCTGTTCCACCTTGTGATGTCATGAAGCAGTAGTTTTGAAGTTAACGTTTACCTTTTGTTCAGTAGCGATGGGCAATTCCAGAGCTGAAATCATCCAAATTATTCTAGTGAAGGCATATGGGGTTTAAAATCACAATAGAGACTTCCTGTATTATCACATTCTTTCTCAGTCTAAATATGCAGGGTTTGTGTTTTCAACATGTGTGAATGAAACAAAACTCAACTCCAGGTATGTTTGTGATGAGAAAACACCATTATAACATAGATCAGAAACCCAAAACTACAAAACTAGATATGTTTTTTTTTTTTATTGGTATTCTGGCTCTTATTTGATTTTAGTTTTATTGTGGTCTAGTGAAGTTAAATAGAGCTTTATTTTATTAGTAATGGATATGTTTTTTTGTATTGTGCAGCATTTATAGCACTGTTTTGTTAAAGTGGATTGGAAGTACACCAGATGATAGACTTATTCATGGTCTATTCCTAAATTTTGATTAGAGTTGATTAGGCCCAGTTATGAAAAATAAATAGACTGAAATTAACAGCCTTTTCTTGCTGCTGATTCATGCAACTCCTGTACACACAAGACTGACAGCCGTACCTCACTCACTGATATCTGATCTGTGCCTTCTCCTGCCTCCTGGTTACTGCATACAGCCCACACAGTACTGCGTAAGGGGCTCTAAATAAGCTATCTGAATAGGTCGCTACGCCGTTACATAAACCTATTTAATATTTCAGAAGCGGGAGCAGCACGATGGATGCACGGATGGAGAGGTCTGCCACTGCGGGACAGATGACGTCAACCTGTAAACTGAGGACACGCGTAATCCGATTTGGGCCTGCCTCCTCCTCACGTGCGCCGCGCCTGACATCTAGTGGTCACAGTACGCCACTGCAGCACCGTCGCAGCTTTACAGAAACAGGTAAAGAAATGTGGGTGAAAACTAAAAGGTGCGTCACGGAACCTTTTTGCTTGTCTCCATGGAGACGTTACTGATTTGATCGAATTTTCCACAGGAGGGAATTAACCAAATAACCAAACAAACCAACACGGGTTCCCAATGCAAAATGAAAACCACACCAGCTATAATGTAAAGATTTATTTAGCATTTATATAGTATAGTATAGTATAGTATAGTATAGTATAGTATAGTATAGTATAGTAGTAGTAGCGGTAGTAGTAGCAGTAGTATTAGTTGTTGTTCTAGTAGAAGTATTAGAAGTAGTAGCAGTAGTAGCAGTAGCAGCAGCAGCAGCAGCAGTAGTAACAGTAGTAGTAGTAGTAGTAGTAGTAGTAGTAGTAGCAGCAGTAGCAGAGGCGGCGGCAGCAGCAGCAGCAGCAGCAGCAGTAGTAATATTATTATTAGTAGTAGTAGCAGTAGTACTAGTAGTAGCAATAGTAGCACCAGCAGTAGTAACAGTAGTAGGAATAGTAGTAACAGTAGTAGTAGTAGTAGTAATAGTAGCAGAGGTAGCAGCAGCAGTAGTAGTAGTAGTAGTAGTAATAGTAGCAGAGGTAGCAGCAGCAGCAGCAGTAGTAGTAGTAGTAGTAGTAGTATTGTGGCAGTTGCAGTAGTAATAGTATTGTGTTATTTGAACCTAATTTCACTAAAATATAAACATTTACTGATACCCATTTAGGTACCACTGCATTAGGTGTGTGTTTTAATACGAAAAAAATACCTTTTATTATTACTTTGAGCTGGGTCACCCTCCCCACAGATCCGACCCGTAGCTTGGTAGTGCCACATGCTTATCTCCTTGGGGATATATAAGCAGCAGATCCTCCACGTGAAAAGTTACACAGTGCAGCTTTAAAAAATAAACATGAAGCACTAAAATTTAAATTAGCTGAATGTATACTAATAACATATGATCTTGTAATTGTGTAATTAGATAACCAAAGCTCACACACAGGTCAGTGTGTGTGGGCTGAATCAGTGGCTCCAATGGTCAGACTCTGCCAACTGCTGCATTTCACAGATGAGAGAACCAGAACACTGTGCTTCCAAACACAGGCTATTTTTAGACCAAACTTTGTCTGAGATACGAGTGTAATGGCATCGCATTTGTAAACTATTGACAGCTGGATAAATTCAAAACAAAGTCGAGCCCATAGAGTGTAGCCTGTCATGTTAAAAACTGTATAAGATAAATATTGACCACTAAAAGTAATTCTCTATTCTATCTTTTATTGAAGTTGATACAGTAATTATTGTGATGGGCTACTTTAGAGCAGAGTTTTTCTTTGATAAAAATGTATTTGTGGCGCATAGACACACATTTCAACATAGGCTAGTAGTAACTTTATCATTAATACATTTAAACATCAGAGGGTAAATGTAGTGTGGAAGCTTAGTGCAAGACCATCAACCAGAGGGTGTTCACTTCAACCAAAATGTGATAAGGAGTGACTTCATGATGTGTCATAGTCTAAACAAACAAAAAAAAAAAAACAGGACTTGATTTTCCTATTAACAAATGACCCAAAGGTACACTATGTAACTTGTAACTACTTGTAAGTAGGACTTTAAAATGCTAAAAGATACCTTGAAACAATCTGCATTCTTACTGTGAGCATGATCGCCTTTTCACAGATCTTCCATGTAACTTGGCCTGACATTACTTGTTTATATCCATGGAGACAGACCATGGTCTATCACCTTGAAAAACATGCATCACTACTACTATTACTACTACTACTACTACTGCATTTTAAACTGCAGTTTAAAGAAGTGCCCTTGGCAGTTTACACTACTAATTTCACTAAAACACAGGCAATTTACAAATATTTATCAATCATTAACTATTCATGTACTAATAATCACATACTTGTATTTTTTTGTAAATGATTAGTTAATGCTTACTAAACATTTAAAAATGTTTGCCTGCAAATCATGTAGTATACTGGTCCAAGTAATATTCCGGACCAACATTTCTCTAAAATGCACGGAAATTATAATCTGACAAATAAAAATATGTGTGTAAATTCTGCCAGCTTTTGGATAGAATTCCCCGTAATGTCTCTCTGCTTCCTCTAATTTTCAATTCATTTCATTTTCCTTCATAAACTGCTTCTTGATTTCTGTAAAACCATCAGTTATTTTTACAACAATTTTTACAAGTAAAAATTTGAGAATTGCCAAAATGTGCCATATTACACTGGAAAATTTTCAGGCAATAGCACCTCCATGGAGCCAACCAGACACGCTGACAGAAAAAGATCACTTTAAACCACTACATTTCTGGTTTATAAGCCTGAGCCTCTGTGGCGACTGTCCCCTAAGCCACACATTTGTATATTTCACTACTTCATTTGTTTGTTTTTAGAATATTCAATGAAGTAAAAGAGGAACCAGCTCACTTCAAATTTTTCCAGACAGGACCATGAACTGTGGATTTTAAACAACACTTTGGGCTCATTTCGGATCACCATGGATACATTTTTCACAACTCTTTTCATAAAGACATAGTTTGGAACATTTTCAGAGATGAGTGGAGCGGAGGGGCAGGAGGATGAGCCCCCTGAATGTGTGGAAGTTTGTATAGACGTGCGCATCCACAAACTCCAAAACCGACGTTTCTTCCTCCAGCAGTTGCAGCATGTGACCAGGAAAGCTGAAGGTGAGCTGTGGAGATGGAGATTTCTGACCTTGCACTGATCCAGTATTCACACAGGAAAGTTCATACTACTGAATTTGTGGTTTTCAGATTCTAAAATGTGCTAATGTCACACTCCCAGACGAGGAGCAAAAGCCAGAATTTAGATATTTATTATATTGTACTTTTCCATGATTACACTGTACCATCCAAATGTAAATTCATGGACTTTTTATTATTGACTAGAATAAATAAATAAATATTCCAAACACTAACATAATTAAGACTTTCAAATTGAAACAAGTTTAAAATAATTAAAGCTGTTATGAGGAAAAAAGAACTGAAGAAAATTCACAGTACAAATGAAGAGAGAGAGAAAAACAGGTCTCAAAATAATCCAACAATAATTTAGGAACTGGGACAAATAAAAGGTGTAAATGTATGAATATTGTACTGACATTTTTCAAGTGGCCAATTTTTTTGATATTAAAAACACACAAGATTCATGCTGGACAGAAATACGACTCATTTATAACTCATTTATTTCACCAAACAACACAGCCAAGCTACCTTCAGTGTGTGTTGCCCAATAACCTGTTCAAATACAAAAAAAAGAAAAAAATCTCTATTTGTCTTATATAGTATTGATAATAACTGTGATGATTTATTCCCAGTAAGCCCCCTCCAAAAAAAAGAAAGAAAAGAAATTCTGAATTTTTTTTCTTGTTAACATTTTAATGATCAATAATAATTTCATAATAAAAAAAAAATATGAAAAAAAATATGATTTTTTTTTCTTGTCTACATTTTAATTAATAATTAAAAAAATAAGAAAAATATGCTAATATTGATCTTATTATTATTATTTATTTAAATCTATTTAAATCTATTAAAACAAGGACAGTGCACAGAAAACATTAAACTCAGAGAGAAAAGATGCTCTGTGCCAGATTTAGTGACAAGCTACTTTCCATCTGCAGTCCTTGGCCGGATACAAAACACATTAAGAAAATTATTGACATTTGACCAACTCTAACAACAACATTTCATCATTAACAGGATCTCCTTAAAATCACCACTATCCAATTCATCATTAAACACTGAAAACCATTGAAAATAAATTCATTCTCATTTCCAGAGATTTCAAATTCATCATTGTCTTCTAAAAAATATCATTGTTATCAATATCTTTTAAAACATACGTTTACTCAATTCAGCAGTATTATTATCCTCTAAAATACAATTCATCAACAACATGACCACCAAGACCATCATGTCATAAATGACACACAATACATTTACGTCTACACAATGCATCTCTAGTACAATCAGTCAGAATGTTTAAACGTTTGAAGAAGCTTGATGTTGACACACCTGCTGCTCAGAGGACATTGCTTTAGTTCAAGAGAGAAAGTGTGGGAGTTAGTGCAAGTTTTAAATTCATCTGGAAGTGTGTTCTAGTTTTTTGCAGCTGTTTATGAAAAAGGGAAACTTTTCCCATCAGAGGACGCTTAAAGGGAATGGTCAGATCAGAATTTACAGATGAGCAAGATGTTCTCTTCATCTGCTCTGAACTGGAAGAAGCTTCTTAAAAGAGGAGGAGAATTCTATGGAGCTGCTGCCTCTCAGAATAAAAAATCTATTATATATATATAAAAAAAAGGAGAGCATGTTTTGAAACATGCTGTAGTGTTTTAGCATATTCTCTTTTCCCTCTGGTCATCTATAAATGTCTCTTATGTGCCAAGCCTTTTCCGGGCTTGTTGTTTGCCATACTGGGATTTACTTCCTGGCGACACATAAAACCCTCAATAAAACTTAATGCCACTGGGCCACGGACTTTTACCTACAACACAACGGTAAGTGTTATATACTAGATCCAGTTTAAAAGGCAAAAAAGGTAAGGTCAATTAAAAGCTTTGATCTGTAAAATGTAAGAACTGTGGCATGTTATTAACTAATGTGCTGTTTCCTTGGTGAAGATGATGAAGATGAAAGTGAGCTGGAGCTGGTGGAGAGAGAGCTGCAGGAGCTTCTGCAACAGAAGGAGAGCCTGGCCAGCTGCAGGACCGCCACAGACACAGGCACGTCTCCTCCTCTTACGCTCATGACAACTCACTCTGAAAATTTCCAAACTATTATGATTTTAGGCAATAATAATAGTTTCACAGTTCACAAAAGTTCACTACAGTTTACCTTGGAATATACTCCAAATATGTAACAGTTTTTTTTCCTACATATTACTTTGCTTATTTTGTATAAGCAGCTCTCGAGGTCAGAATACTGTAAGTCTGCTCCATCTAATTATACTGTGGTTAGTGAGAACTGCTGTGAATTATTTTTGTGTAACCGCACAGGTAGTCCGGGAACAATTAATCACTCTTCTATATCACTACCCTGTGAGCATCACCATAGCGACGGTTAAACAAATGAACTGCTGTTCTGTAGGAGGGACTCGCTTTAATGCCTTGAACATCCATGGACAGCCAAAACATTGTCAGATGTAAAATTGAATGATTTTGAGTTGGTGGGACTATGCTATAAGCAGATAAAGCAACTCGTTACACAGTTTTAACGCATGCATTTAATTATCTGATAATCAGGAAGTGTATGTTAGCATGCTAGTTGTTATTAGTGTTATTATGACGGCAACACTTCTAACCTGAAAGCTGTAAAAAGCGCGTGAAAAACTTTGAACCACTGCCAACTGTTTTCACGTTTTTTTAAGTCAGTAAAAATCAGGTATAGCCTTTTTTCTACAATACTTCTTCTCAATTCTTAATTTTAATATTCATTTCGCATGTGTTCTCACACAGGGCCCGTGGGTATTAGTTCCTACATCAGTAAAGTGGAGACTGAGGGGATCTACACACTCCCCCCTTTCCATTTCACACCGGACCCCCTGCCCCCGCCCATGATCAGGAACGTCCCTGAGCCTGTCCCACCAGAGGAACCACTGCCACCACCACCCCCACCACCAGAGGAACCTCCATCACCACCGCCACCACCAGAGGAACCTCCATCACCACCTCCTTGCCCACCTCCCCCACCTGAAGAACCACCTGTGGAACCTTCTTCTGAAGATGACGATATTAAGCACATAGAGCCGGGTAAGCTCCGCTCTAACACGACACCTAACCGTTCAGTATTTTCTTATGATTTATTTAATGTACCGTTCTGCCTCACAGTGGACAACCTGGGTAGGGGTGGGGCCTTCACGCTGTGCCCATCCTGTAAGCAGGTGGTCTTCACTCAGACCAAGAAGTACAACGGAGAGTCAGCCTGGCTTATGAGTTGCATTGTGTATGTTACTTTGATCAAAATACTGTAACAATCTTGGTGTTTAGTCAGTCATGGGAGTAGTTTGAAATGACTTCACATAGAATGGCCATTGAATCTGTTAATAAAACTAGTATCAAAACGAGATACTCATTTCAGAAAGTGTTGATACTAAAAAGTCACATTCACAGAACAGAAATGAAGCTTTCCCGAATAGCTTTAGAGTGATCTTGAGCTGTATCAGAACAAATATAACACATAGACTAGTATACACCCATGGACCACTATGGAATTTACCTGGACAGATATAAGACCACATGATAATTGAAAACAAAGTACTATGATTAAATGCTGAAAATCATAGTATTGTCTAAAGAGTTTTTTTTTTATTATCATTGTGGTATCAAAATCAGTACTGAGTCTATTTCAACGAAGTTGAGTGTGAAATTTTAGTGTTGTGAAAACACTATATGACTGTAACCACTCTGTCATCACACAGGGGCTTTTTTTGTCTCTGTTTTTTCCCGTTCTGCGTGGACCAACTGAAGAGCGTCCGCCATAACTGTCCCGAGTGCCAGAAGACCATCCATACCTATCACCCCTTCTGATGTGAGGTGCTCTTCGTTAATATGGACTACTTCTGATGTGAGGTACACTCCACTGCTGTGTACTATTACTGCACTTTGATTTTAGCACCTGAATGAGACTGGATTATAATCTACAATCTCCCCAGACCAGAACCCACCACCATATATTTTATCTCCTGTCTATTTGCAATGAGAGCGTAACCATGGTAACAGTTATGCTCATGGAATCCATGTGAGCCATAATGGACCCTTTCTGGTATAAACATGATTCACTTCTTAACTGTGAAAAGAATGATTCGACTTTGTAGCCAGTGTCTTGACCTTAGGGAAATAAAAAAATAAACATGGAAATGTGTGCTAAAATGCAAATGCATGCTCATGGCATGGCATAACGCACGTCATTAAACAAATGGGATCACTTCCTCAAAGACTTATGTCACGGCCTGATGAAGCTTCTTCTATGGAAATACTGGGCTGTATGTCTCATTAATATAGTTTTAATGTTGTTGTGGTTGTTTATAGTACTGACAAATGCTATGGAATACCTTGACTTGGTGGTATGTTATGAACTTGAATCTCAATGTAATAATCCATTGCAAATATCGCATTGTTGGTCTGTAACTATTCATGGTGCGCTAAATGTTCATGTGTAATATTTGTAAATATGTTAGCTCGGTAATGACTGGTCACAACAAGTGTCAATAAATAACTGGTTGCTGCTATAAACATTGTGCTGAGTTGCATTAAAAGTGACTTTTCCTGCAGAGATCTATTGAGAAGCTTTGAAAGGAATGTTCTGGGGGGGGTGTGATTGGTGTAACAGGATGCAGCCAGAAATTTGTAATCAGAAACGCCTGACTGTATCAGGGCAGTCCTGCGTGATGTCATGTAGTACCTGAAATGAGAGTTGCCATTGGGGGCCTCAAAACGGAAAATATAGGTTTCATTAAAATAGCAAAAATAGTAGACAAAGTCAGTAAAATGCAATGCATGCAATGTTGGGGAGCAAAAAAAGTGGAATCATTGTTTAGTTCCACTTTAACCCTTCAACCCCAAAATTTGAGGTCACAATATTTATAACCTTCTTGTCCCAAACAGTGTTTGAAAAGGTCTGGAAAGTTTCATAACTAACATTTTTCCAATGAAAAAAAAAAGTTTTCAAAATGTGCCTTGTGGTCCCCAACAATGTCAGCGAGTTAAATATATCAATTTATATTAAAAATATTGGATTACATATTGATTGCTTGAAGAAATGCAAAATACATTTAATGCCATACGGTACATTTTCCAGGTAAATGCAGTCTCTATGACGACAGGCAAGAAGCACACTCTCCACCTTTAAACTAAAAAAATGACATACTCCCAAACTCACAGTACACCAAATGATTTATTGTCACATAAAGGCATACAGTACTTATTATATACATCTTTTAGAGTATGTACAAAATAGAGAGCCATGGATGTTTCACATGTATAAAAATATGCATTACATCTATAGAAATATGTACACAATGTGCAAAACATATGGCATACAAACAACAAGAGGCGTGGCATGAGCGCGAGATACAGAGGGCTACCACCAACTACTACTGTACGGATGCTAACTGCTGCTGATACTTTACCATGGGAGTATAAGAAGACCGTATAGATCCATGTACTACACCCCCCACATGTACTGTATACATATGGGAGCGGAGTCTGCTAAAAATGTACTGGTCTGAGACTGCAGCTGCCACTTCCTGTCCCATGTAGTTTTATCTAGACAATATGAAGTCCTTTGACCGCGATACAAAGGAGCATTGATATAAAAACAACACAGGATAAAACCAAGGCAGTATCTGACAGTACAGTTTATCAAAGAGAGCAGCATTATTCAGTGGTGGAGAGTAACAAAGTACACAGTAAAAGTAACATTTTTAGGTATCTGTACTTTACTTAAAGTACATTTTACAGTGGATATTTAACTTTTAATTCACTACATTTAAGAGCAGGTATTTATACTTTGTAATTTAGTGTACTTAGATTGAAAAGTATAGTACTTTTCATAATGTTCAATGGGTTATTTCAGTATCTCCATGGGAACATCCTGACTAAAGGTTTTGAGTTCAAGTCTCAGATTTAAACATATTATATTATGTTAAAAAAATCTAGTTGTTAGGGTTATCACTACATTTAACATAGCAGTTTCAAAATATGTCTGGAATACTTTTACCTACTTCAGTGCTTTCACTTAAAGGTGCGGTGTGTAACTTTGTGGCATTTAAACAAAGTTAAAACTACACTTCGGAACATTCTCCATGAAGACAGATACACCACATGGTTGACTATTATAACCAAAAGAGCATTTCCAAATAAGAGTCAGGTTTGTGGAGATGCGAGCGCGCTCAGAGTAAGGCTACATATTTTTCAGTGCAATCAACACAAGTTTCTGTGGCTTTAAAGGTGCATTGTGTAACTTTTCTAGTGGAGGGTCTGTCAGATGCTTTTTATCATGAAGCTGTTATTGCTTTGTCTGGAATATTTCACAGTATGATATTAAACCTTTCTATCTTCATGGAGACTAAACCAGGCCAATTTACAGGCCAGATCCGTGGAGAGGCAACCCACTCACAGAACGCCTGTTTTTCTGGGTATTTTTGAGCTATAAAGCCACCTGTAATTGAATAAATGTAAGGCAGAGCTGTCATACTGTGGAACATTCCAGGCAGAGCAATGACATATCCACAGAAACAAGCAGGTGACAAACAGCCTACCAAAAAGTTACACCTTTAAGTAGATCTATCATGTGATCATTTTTGTTCCTAAAGCTGTACTTTTACTTAAGTACCAAAACTGAGTACTTCTTCCACCACTGTTATTGCAATGAGCTGTCCCTGCCCCATTCTTAACCACAGTCCAAGGGTGAGTGATCATTGACAATACACTTTCTGTGGTTTGGATACATCTAAAATCATAATAATTCAAAACCACAAGCAAACAGATACACGTGACACCGCTCTTTGTACAGAAGCAACAATTGTGAACGCTAAAAACATTACGAAAACAAAATGTGAGATTACATTTCAAGGCCTGCTTTTGGCAACGGATATCAAAAACGATTTCCTAAGATATGAACAACAACAACAATGAAACAAAACGCACAACACAAAAGCTAAAAGTAGTCTGCCTAGTTTTTGGCGCTGATTTGAACATTTTTGACATTTTTTTTTGCTGTAATTATTGCTGAAGTGAATACATATCAGCTAGCATGGATTCAACTGAGCCTAAAGTGGCACGCAAAATATGGTATGTGAGCTGTGGTGAGAACTAGCGCCCCCTAATGCCTGAAAACAGAAGTGGTCACAAATAAGAGGTTTAAATTTAAAGGTCTTATATTACACAGAATAGATTTTTATGAGCTTTAAGCCATGTTATAAAGCTGTTACCTCATCAAAAACATACATGGGAATGTGTTTTGTTTCGTTCACACATGGATCCTTTTTTATTAGTCTGTCTACATCTCCAAAGCTCAAAATGCTCTGTTCCACCTTCCACCTTTTTCACCTTTTGTTCAGTAGAGATTGACAATTCTAGGGCTGAAATCATCCAAATGATTTTAGTGAAAGTGTTGATAAACACGGTGGAGCACTTCCTGTATTACCACATGACATCACAAGGTGTAAGAGTTTATTGTTTGAGAGAAAAATCTGCAGGGTTTGTTTGTTAAACATGTGTGAATGAAACAAAACGCAACTCTAGGTTTACTTTTGATGAGAAAGGAACATTATAACACAGATGAGAAAATAGTGTAATATGGGCCCTTTAAAACAAATGTTACATTAGAATGTTCCTGATCTGGAAATGTGCACCTTTGAAAGTGACATAATATAGGGTTCAAATTACATTACAACATTTTAGAATTAAATTTAACTTTGAAATATATCCAAAACGTGTATGCAAATGTAAAGTGCCTTATATCACATTAATATTACTTCTTTAATTCAGAAAGTTTGATTGAAGAATGTGCATCTATGAATGTGCAAATGAAAATGAATTATTGATTTAAAATGATTTGGTCATTGTGTCATAATTGTGAAAAAAAATTATGATATTTCTTCTAACAAAACACTAGAATTTAATGTGACATTCATATTGTTGAATATATTTTGGTTTACTTTTTATCTGTTTAAATGATTTTACAGAAGACAAGAGAATGCTGTGCAGCCAGTGCGTTGTGTTGTGTACAGTAGAATGATATGATGCATTGTTGGGATGTAAGATATACTTGGATGTGTGTTTGAAAAGGAGCGTAGCCCTCTTTGTTCACTGTGCGTGTGACAGTGGGACAGATAAACAGTCTTGAGGAGCACAAAGCAGCCTCATATCAAACAGTCATGCACACAGAGTAGACTCACAGGACATGCAGAAGACAGAGACCACTGCACACGGATACACATTTATAGACACATGTAATCATGCTAGCTCGCTCACACTAGCCCATGTGCTCAAACACTCCCTTTTTCCTGGCTTTGTTTTCAGAGGGACCGTACTGCATTTCAGTGTCACTCCTTAGTGTGGAAATCTGCACAAAACCTTCAGGTTTAAGTATGTGCTGTAAAGGCAATTTATATATTTACTATTTGACAACATGCAGTCCCAGTAAGTGACAAAGCAGGACAAGGCCAGTGTCCACAGCAGAGCTGAGCTCTGTTCATGTCCATGATGAGCAGCACACACACATGTCTGTGTTTGTTCCCTTTCCTCTGAGGCCCTCAGAAAAGCTGCCGACAGTAAAAGTATTTTAGTTACTTGATACATTCAAATAGACTGGAGCATTGGCCACATAAAGTCGATCACATCAGTTTGATCACATGGTTGGATGCTGTTGGATATGCTTCACATTTCAGTATTGTGAGGTGGTTTAGTGCATAGCTCACTCAATACGAGGAGAAACTCCTCTTGTCGTCTGGATAACGTCCAGGCTCTTTAAAGTCATTGGTTGATCAGCTGGACCCTGGGGTCACTATAGGTCACTCGACAGTTATGTGACAGGATATTCTGCACACTGGACTACATGTGCGTGGCTTTGATAGAGAAAGAGAATTGGTCCTGTCCAACTCCTGGATTCCACCAGCTCCGTGTGGCAGCTCTGAGTCTTATTTACAATCGAACATCAATTGTTGCGGATGTACATGAGTGAGCAGAGTGTGTTTAAACACATGTAGTAATGCACCTGTCTGAGAGAGTTTGTTTACCTGGTGGAATCCAGAGGTTTGTGTTACATTGTGCAGCTTGATTTGCTTAATGAAATGTATAGTCTGCACACATGCTATGGCACACAGCCTCAGACTGGTCCAGTAGTTCAGTACAGACCCATGTGCGGGGCTCACAAGAGTCTCGTAGTGGTGGTTTGGCTCATTCTCTGTAGATGATCGTCTTTTAAAATGGATTCCTATTCCTCTAAAATCCTCAAGCCCAGCGTGAGCCGTCTTAGAGCTGTGCAAACTGCTGCTTGTGAGAGGGGCTCTGAACAGCTCAGTCCCAGTGCAGCTGCAGGTCGTGGGAGTCCAGGAAGTCGGAGGGGATGGTGAGGGGGGTGAGCGGTCCGGGACCAGGGGGCATGGTCAGGTCTAACCACTCCATGTTGTCCAGGGCGGGGTCAGACAGACCCATGTGCAGAGAGGAGGGGGGTGATGAGGAAAAGGACAGCTCGGATGTGTCCATGGGAGAGAAGGGCTGTTGCTCCATGAGCTGAGCCTGCAGCTCCTCCATCAGGCCCTGTGTGCGCGGGTCTGCGGGGGAGCTGTCTGATAGTGTGCCCTCCAGCAGAGCCTCCAGCTGCTGCTCTGAGCTCAGGGACAGAGGAGAGGGTCCCCTCAGAGAGCTCAGAGAGGGGTCCCCCAGCGTGGCCAGGCCCGGGGCAGGGGCCAGCTGCACCTGAGGGGGCGGTCTGGACAGGACCGTGTTGACTGGGAGAGTGCTGATGTGAGCGGTGACTGGCAGAGCCTTATTCACCGGCATAGGGGTCTCCTGCTGTGTGAATGGAGCGATTTCTGAGGAACAAAATGAATTTGATTCAGTTATTTATGATGTGTTAAAAATAAGAACATGTATGAGATTAACCTTTTAACATGCTGGAGGTTTACATTAAATAAAGACCTCTGTTATAAAAATTCTTCCCTATTACTGATCATCATGCATGCTCGTAAATGGCACCTTACCTCCACTCTCAATAAGGATGTCGAATAAATCATCCATTTGCTGGCTTGTTGCCGTGGAAACCTGAAATGACACATCAGTCAAATTTGGGATGTGTAGGCGGTCCAAGGACCCACTGTGCTAAAACAGTCTCTCTTTAAGGCTTAAACCAGATGCGCCCAATGCTCTGACCTGTGAGCAGTGGTTGGTCAGCAGGTTACGGCTCTGCTTGACAGCATCCTCGTAGCGGGGCGGCTCTCGGCTCTTGGGGGGCGGAGGAAGCAGAGGGGCGGGCTGCAGGATGAATGTAGGCTGCCCCGGAGAGGAAGACTGGACCGGTGACTGGGAGAGTGAAAACTATCAATATTTACTACAAACAAACAGGTGCAATGATACAGTTGTTCAGATGTCCTACCTTGCTGAGGGGTCCGTTGGAGATGTGATGGTTGGGGGAGGCTCGAGGAGACACCCTGGGGTCTGGGGAGGTCCTCAGAAAACACTGGGGGCTCAGGTCTGCTCGGGTCTGACTCTCCAAACCACTGTTGTTATTGCACATGGTCAGGGTCTGTGCAAAGGCAACAACAACAAGAACAACAAACTTTATTTATAGAGTGCTTTTTATACAAAATTGCAACAGAAAGCACAAAGATCAAAGACAATGGGCCCATCAAACAGAGGATATAGTATGGTCCAAATGTGATTACAAAAAGATTTTTAAAAGAAAGAACACATATTGTGCTTGAGCCTGCTACATGGTTATAATCTATGACACTCGTGGACCACTGTGTTTTCATTTGTTTATCAAAATATTGATCTAAAACCCCCATCTCATAGTGCCTGTAGCATCAGAACTATCAACCTCCTCAGACTCTTTATCTCCTCTTCACCACCAGACTTTAGCTCCAATAATTTTTACTTTCACTTTCACTCAGTCTGACCTGCAGCAGTGGTGTGGGGGTGGCATCCATCTTAGCGCTCTGTAGCTGAGGCACAGAGGTCTGGACACGAGCTGGGGCAGGGTTTGACACGGCCGCCTGGAGTTGAACCGGCTGCAAAAGCAAAAAAATAATAATAATAAATTAATAAAAAATAAATATTAAAATGCATAAAATATTACTGGATTGAATCTTTCATTAAACTAAAAACTAAAAACATCTCCTACTTGTTGCAATGGACTGAAATAAGTCTTCCAGGATAATGAATGCCCTTTGGAGTCTATTATTAGAACTTAATGGTAAGAATTCATTAGCCTGGAGGCTTCAGTCTGTGTTGACTGTGGCCGAGCGGTTGCTACGTCTGATCAGCCACTGAGGTCAAGGTATACACGAGGCTATCCATTTGTACATGGAAATGAAATGAAAATAAGCAACATGGAGCTGAGCATGGACACAACATTTCTTTGCATAGTTAGCATTACATAGACATCTACCTTCAGAATGTTTGTACATGTTACAGTATGCTAGTATTTTGCATTTGATATGGTCGGGTTAGAATGGTTCAATAACAGTAAGTTGCCAAATAGAGAGATGCCCTCCCACTGCTGACCTGCCTTATATTATTATTTTGATCCAAATGAGTTAAATGTGCTGATAGTGGGTGGGGGCTTAGCCATGTCTCTTATTAATGTTCATATCTTGATTTACAGACTTAATAGTGAAATAAAAATACCAGGATCATGTTGTGCGGGTTCATATGAATATTTTAAGTCAGTCAAATCTGACAGCAGCAGTTACAGAGAGGAGGGGGGAGATTTTTCAGGTTTACCCATTTAAATATACAGTCTATGCCTCTGACTCGATGGCATCAGCTGCTTGTCTTCATGGAGATAAGAGTTTATTGCTGTACTGTGGAACATTATTAGCCTGATTCATCAGCCGGTTTCACTTCATAGGAAATTTGTTCGCTCAACGGTAGGCAGGTACTTCTTATTTAACCAATAGCTGCTATTTGGTTGTGATGTATGTAACGCACCACTAACTGAGCTAACCGGTATATTAAGCTTTTTCCAAGTCCCATAGGAAGAAGGACAATAACGTCTTTCCCCTTGATGAAATTCACCAAACATTCTCTTTATTCCGGCTTTAAATCCTCGATCTCTGGAATCATTGACAACACTGAATATATGACTCTTTGCTGATTGGCTGATGACCGAACTTGCACTTCTGGGGTTTTCACAAAGCGCCTAGTGTATTTTGATTCCTGACCTAGTTGCTGGAGAGAAATGAAATTGAGCAGAGGCACTAGGTGGCACCAGCCTGGCTATTACATTATAGCCAAAGCAATAACATCTTTATGGAAACAAGCAAGATTAAGAAGATTTTAATATGAACTAAATTAGTTATTTCATCTTTACTATATACTTAGGAAACTTGTACATTTCAACAGCTGTATTTTCTTATTTCAATGTATTTTATTTCTTTATGCAAATAAAACCTTCCCACATTAAATGAACCAAAGTCCAATCATGTAAATAAAACATATATGTAAAACGGATTATATTAAGTTTGTTTGGAATCATATTACATTCAATACTATCCTAACCATAAACACCATTGATTCTAGACTCTGCTCTGTCTGAAGCTTTGTTACTTAAATTAGACTTTATCCTGAGTTTGTTTTAAGACAATCTGAGCTGATTTTGTGTCCTCTTTCAAAGCATTAGCCAACAGTTTTTCAGTTCAGTCACTCTCAGTCTTTTTGTTGAAAATCAAAAAGACACCTAAAAACAGAACCATGAACGCTCGGACTGGGCTCCTGAAAATGTGCTGTTTAAATCCATTTTCCATTTTTGTTTCTTTACAGTATTTGCTACTGTGTATATTGTGTCTGCATGGAAACTTCTGAACATTCAGTCATAAACATACAGGCACAACACCCCCAATACCATATACCATAACCTAGTTTTTAGTTTACCTGCAGGCTGACTGTGGTAGTGGGCAGCTGGATGGCGTTGTTGGGCAGGGACACGGGCACCAGGATCTGTGCTCCAGCTTGTCCCGCGGCCGTGAGGAGGGTCTGAGGCTGCCCCAGCACTTGAGACACCCCCCCTGAGTGACTGATGAAGAACTGCTGTAAGCCTGGGGTTGCCTGCTGATTCAGTGGCCTGTTTTGGAGCTTGGGACTCCTTTGCGTCACCAACTGGCTCTGAATTTGGAGCGGCTTCCCGGACGAAACCGTCACATCTTCCAGTTTGACCATGGTGGGTAGGGGCGCGGTAATCTGGGAGCCTAAAATCGAACTGGACGCGGTGGATAGGCAGTTTGGTGAAATAGCACCTTCGTTTTTGATAGCGTTGGAAGTTATTTGCGATGTGTTGACGATCGAATTCGGGACAGTCGTGCAGTTGGAAAAAATATTGTTCGCTTCCTGTTTGACGCTGGGGTCCGAACTCATCCCGCCTTTCTTCTCCACCTCCAGCTGCATTTTGAGCTCCTCCACCAGTTTCTGCTCCTGCTCCAGCTTCCGCATCAACTCCTCGATTTGGCGCTCCTTCTCGTGCAGCCGCCTGTCCTTCTCCTCCGGGACGCGAGGGGGCTGCGGCGTTTCGGCGGGTGCGTCCGGCATGCCGACGTCCTGCGGGATGGGCGACACGGGAGGGGTGGGCATCGTGGGGTCGTTGGGTGATGCTTGCTGGGCGGGGAGAATGATGGTCGGGGCGGCGGAGGTGGTGGTGGCGGTAGTGGCGATCTCCATGGGAACGGCGGTTAAAGCGGTGGTGGAGGGTACAGAGGCGAGGGCGGGGGCGGGGACAGGTGCGGGGCTGTCCTGGAAGGGTTTGAGTCGCTCGATCAGGTCGGTCTTGGTGCCGGACACGGGCAGGCCGCGAAGTTTTAGCTCCATCTTCAGTTCAGCCACCTGGAGACAAACAGCAACAGCTACTATTAAAAGGGCCACACCAGACCTTTTTCATTTAATAAAATCAAATTAGTTTGCCCCAGTACAAATAAAAGCAGCTCTTTGAATCTAAATGAGTCCAGTGTGTAACATCTAATCATAAAGTGTTTATTGTCTATGAATCAAGTGAGCAAGTGAGATTTATTGTCAGAATTCACAAACTTGTGGGAAAGGAACTTGTGACGTTATGGTGCAATTAAAAAAAAAAAAAACTACTGGTAATAAAGTAAACTATGATTAAATAAAAAAAATAAAAAAAAGTTGTGACTTATTCTAGTGATCAATGAGGAGGAATAAGTTTGACGTCCTGGTAATAACTAGGGCTGGGTATCATTAAGAAGTTGCAGATATGATTGATAGGCCATGATTCGATACATATCTTGATAAAATGAGCTTTCAATTCGATACAATATATTTCAAATCGATTCAATATGGTTCAGTAAAAATAAAGGCTAAATCATGACTGTGATACTACAAGTCTTTTTGTTTCATAAGAACTTTGCTCAAGAAGCGGTTTAACAAACATTTTAATCATCAGAACAATGAAAATATTAAATGTGTTGCATAAATAAGTTTCCTTCCTCTAAACAAGCAAGAAAACTGTAGCACTGAAACTAAATAATTTAGTAGAATATACCAAAAAATACTCTTGGCGATATATCTATACAAACTAGTTCACTTCCTGATTGACAAATGATAAAAACTCTTATGTAAGAGCACATTTCACTTTATTACAAGCCCGTTTAAAGCTCATTCAAAGACAGTTTCACTTTTTTAGCTAAACATGAGTATTTAAATTAACTTTTTGACTTTTATGTTTGTTTTCTGTTACCAAAGCTGCAGACCACCAAACACATTACGCCACAAACGGAGCTGAAAATATTCAACTACCTTCATCTCCTCCAGGTTGGCGGGCAGAACTCCAGGCCTGCGGTTGGTCAGCATGTTGACGGGCCGGGCGGGGGGCAGTGGGGGCGGAGGCGGGGCGGTGGGCAGAGACACGACGATGGAGGTGGGCAGGCTGTTCGTGCTGGCGCCCTGACCCTCTGCCACAGGCCTGCAGGAAACACACAGAGACAATGCACCAGTGAGCTATTGTGTGTGGACAGGAATGTGCGGCTACTCACAGAGGGGAGTGGGAAATGGACAGAGTTGCCAGGTCTGATTCTTTATAGCCACATAAAATTAGATTTGCTTGCATATTATTTAGGGCTTCACATCATTGTTACATTTGGGCACTTTTGGTTTTTCCCTGCTTTCTTTTTATTGTTCATATTTTTTGTAGCATTTCTGCCTAGTTTTGTTCTGATAAGTTAATTATGTTTTTGTAGTTTATTTTGTCCTCATTTCCGGCAAGAGGCCTTAAATGCGCGAGCCGCCTCGCTCTCTCTCTCGCTCTCTCCTCCTCCTCGTCCGCCGCCGCCGCAGGTACTGGAGCGCGCACGCCTCGTGCTGGGAGACGCCCTGCTAGCTCTCCTGCTCCATCGTTTTGGTAGCTTGTGTTAGCCGTTAGCCTTTTGTTTGACCTGGTGGGACCGGCTGTCCTGTTTTCGCTTTTCTGTTGGGTTTAGGTTGTTGGGTTTGTTGGTCTTTAGTTACGGGTGCTGGCACCGGCTCCTACGGCCCTGTATAGGGTTGGCCCGGTGTCGCACCTTTTTGTTCTTTTTGGCCGTCTCACCAGGTCCACCTTTCTGTTGCTACTTTTGGTTTGGGCACTGGTAGGGTTTCTTTTTTTTGGTTTAAACATCTCTGCACAAACAAAAATAAAAGAACTCTAAAATTCTATTTTTGGTTCCCGTGTCCTTTCCTAAATATGTTGGGACTCAAATCTTTTGGGTCGTAACAATCATAAAACAGGTGATTTTTAGTCTTTTTACAGTTCTGATTCACGTTAATAGACCAGGTAATGACTGAAATGACACCGCAAAATGTTAATAAAAAAAATCAGATTTTTCTGACAAATATTGCAATTGCAGTTAAATTTGCGATGCGTCCTTAAAAAGTAGGATTCTGTTCAGGAGTATTACTATTTGAGAGAAACTGAAATATGAACTGATGAACTAATACAAGAATTTCAGAACATGTTTATGGAGGTCTATACTAGGGTTGTAAAAATAGATACTCAGGTACTGTATAATATATATATATATATATATATATATATTATATATATATATATATATAATATATATAATAATAAATCCCATAAATAAGGACAAAAGATAACTTAAAGAAGCAATATTATTTTGTGCTGAAAATAACATACTAAATGCGCTTTGTGTTGCATTTTTGTATGAAAAGCACTCTATAAATAAAGTTTGTTTTTTTCATCATACCTTTTTTTTCCATCATACAAATTTTGTAATGAGCCTTTTCCTCAGTATAGAAATTGAGTTTGAGTAGAAATTTTGGTATCATAGCAACCTGGGTCTAAACTACAGGTACAAGATTTTTTCTATACAAAGATGCAACTTATTTATCTAAATAATTGCTCCCTTTCTGATTTGATTATTACGCCATCTCACACTGCGATTTTGACAGAATTTCAATTCATTGCACTGCTCTAGACTGAAACAACCTGTTAACATTTTACATATGTTGATTATTTTAAAAATAAAACAGCAGTTCTTATTAGCGTTTGTACAGGGGCACACACGTTTAACTAGTGTTTTTTTGGTTTATATTTATGGAGATTGCTCATATTGCTCTTTTTGAAATGTCTTTGTCACTTTTTGCTTTCTGACAAAAATCTGGCAACCCTGGAAACAAACAGGAAACCCAAGTGACCAGAATGTCTAGCGTGTGCCGTCTCACTTAGAGCGGCTCCATAGTGCACGCTCAGTTCAAAGGCTCCAACCACAAACACGGCAGCTGCTCGCACCACTTCCTGTCGGCCATTATCCCCAGACTCAGCCTTGTTATTGGAAACAAGCTAATCGACCACGAGGCAAAGGCTGAAAAACAATGTCTGGTTTGACTTGAGAGGTTTTCAATTTCAGAACTGGGGATGCTACAAGCTAACCCTCATTCATGATAACAGGCACCGCAACAAAGATAAGACCAATTTCACCTGCACTAAGACTAGGACTGCTTTCACTAATGGCTCTTTATATAGCCAGGCAATAAAGGCAATGCAAATTCTTCAGCTGACATACAAATTGAAATGGATTAACGGGAATGATAATGCAATAACAATATTGTGATTAAAAAAATAAACAAAAATAAAATCTAAACAAACTAAAGGAAGGAGCCAGGGCTGCTTTTTAAAAAACTTTAAAAGTTCTGAGGTGGAAGGTCCTGCCACCATCTCCATGGAGATATCACTGCTTTGCCTTGAACGATTAATTATTTAAGTGAAACGCCAAACTTTAAAAAATGTATATTTAAAAGGGTGGTGTCAGCAGGTGGTGTCAGCAGGTGGTGTCAGCAGGTGGTGTCAGCAGGTTACAGGCTAGATCTGCGGAAATGTGACCCCCGAACTGTTGCGAACTGTCTAGTGCAGGCATGTCCAAACTATGGCCCGGGGGCCAAATGCCACCCTCAGACAAATTTTTCTTGGCCCTTCCAGGTGAACTGACCCAAATTACCTTGCATCAATTAAAAAATAATTTTTTACTGCAAATTTTTTAAAACTCTACCTTGATAAAGCTAATCTTAGCATGAATAAAGACTGATGGTTCATTCTAACATGTTAAACATGCACATATTTCGATTATTCCCTGTACTGAGCACCAGTCTGTGGCCCTCAATCAACCTTCTGCTTCATCTCAGTTTAGATATGTGGCCCTTGATTAAAAAAGTTTGGACACCCCTGGTCTATTGCATTTTGATTCCTGACCTAGTCACTGGAGAGAAATTAAATTGAGCAGAGGCACTAGGTGGTGCCAGCCTGACTAGAACATTCCCGGCAAAACAATTACATTTTACCAACAGACTCTCCACCAGTAGAGTTACAATGCAGCTTTAAATATATTTGAAACTAGGGCTGCATTTTCACAAATATAGGTAGAAATATTGTGACTGAAGACTCGTAACTTGGGAATATGTATGAATAAAGAGTATTATTAATAAAAATCCAATATTGTTATTTTTATACTTAGAATTGTCACAATATTAAAATTGCAAACTCTAATTTGATACTAAGGAAAAAAGTCTGAATTCTGACATCATGATAAATAAATAAATTAAAAAAAACACTCTTTATTTTGACAATTTTCACAGTATTTTCTTTTATATTATCATGTGACCTTATGTTTGTGTCATCCAGATATTTTCCATAGTGGTCCATGTGAGTACACTAGTTTTATATTAGTTCTGATAAAGCTCAAGATCATTCTAAAGTTATTCAGGAAAGCGTAATTTCTGTCCTTTGAATGTGACTTTTTTAGTATCAGTACTTGCTCAATTTAGCATTTAGTTTTGATATTAGTTTTAGTATCAATTAGTACCCGATTTTCGATATTGCTACTTAGATACCGCTACTATGACAACCCTACCCCCCACAAACAGTCCCACATAACATAAGTATCCCACAGTAGTTCTCACGTACTTGAGTGGGGCGGGCAGGATGGTCTGGTAGTTGTAGTGCTGTTGTTGCTGGCTGAGGATCTGCAGTTGGAGGAACAGTTGTTGTTGCTGGAGCAGGCGGGCGTAGGAGGAGTCCATGTGGGCCTCGGCGCTCTCCTGCTTCTGGTCCGGAGGGACGTACTGGTGGTACTTGAGCTTCTTCACGCGGGACTTGGGCTCTTTGGATTTCTTATTGCGGCTTTTGTCCGAACCGGTTTTCTGCTGGCTTTGCTGGAAAAAGAATAGTTACATTTTAGACTAAAAATGAAGCTGTTGTTCAGGAACTCGTGACTGAAATGTTTTAATTCTGCACTTTCTTCTTTTAAAGGTCCAATATCATATCAAAACATACCTGGAGTTTATACATGTTTGAGTAAACCTTTCCTGTCTACATCTCCAAAGCTCAAAATGCTCAGTTCCACCTTGTGATGTCATGAAGCATGTTAACAGCTACTTTTTACCTTTTGTTCAGCAGAGATTGGCAATTCTAGGGCTGAAATTATCCAAATGATTTTAGTGAAGATGCATGGAGTTTAAAAACATAGTGGAGAACTTCCTGTATTACCACATGACATCACAAGGTGAAACAGAGTATCTTCTGTTTGAGAAGAAAGAAGAAGTTAGCCTAAATATGCAGGGTTTATGTGTTAAACAGGTGTGAATGAAACAAAACACAACTCCAGATATATTTGTGATGAGGAAACAACAAATATGAGCCCTTTAATGTTTATTTTATAATGAGTGTTTGTATTGTGGTTTTAATGTCTTTCTTTTTCCTGTAAAGTACTTTGAATTACTGTGTACAAGTTGTGCTATACAGTTAAACTTGTCTTGCCTTTTACATTATGTATTGACAGGAAATGGACAGTGAAACATTGTCTGCCCTATTTGAATGTACTCATCTATTTGAATAATTGTAGCTTCTTAGAATTAGATTTGGACAAAGTGCTTTTAGCAGAGCACAGAGCCAGACAGAGAATGTCAATAACAGCAAATAAGAAGACCATTTCTTCAACACCTTTTAGTTTAGTTTGGTTTAGTTTATGCATAAACGTCCACTCTGTGCTGTTTCACTGAGAGCAGTATGATCCATGGTGGAATGTAACAAAGTAAAAGTACTGTACTTAATTAACTAAATTTTGATGTCTGCACTTTACTTGAGTAGATTTTGAAGTAGATACTTTCAGTTTGACTTCACTACATTTGAGAGCAGATACTGTATGTGTACTTTCTACTCCACTACATGTTTTAACAGGACTGAAAATTGTAAGTATTTTTTATTACAGCGTGAGATGTGCAGAAAATACTGAGGGTTTATTTTAACATGTCCAAAATTTGGCCAAAAATATACAAAAAATAAAAACAGCTAGAAAAAACACTTGATTCTGTTGAAGGAACTTCTGCACAAATAAAAATTCCTACTTTTGAATATCCCAAAATCTGCACCAAATACTTTTATTTATACTCTCAAAGTACATTTTTAATCAGGTGCTTTAATACTTTTACTTAAGTAAATTTTTTCCTGTGATACTTTTACTTAACAATTTTTTTTTTGCTCCGGTATCTGTACTTTTACTTAAGTAACAAAATTGAGTACTTCTTCCACCATTGAGTATATTAGATATTTTTCAACATACTAGAATGTGATATTCATTTTGAGGACTTTTCACCATAAAAACATTTTATTATATTTTATTATTTTTATATTATATTACTTAATTGCTGTGGCAAAGGTGCTTACTTCACTCTCAATCTATTGAACTGATTGTTTGTGATTTTCATATAAAATATTTTAATGGAACTTAAGACTTAGACAAACATTGTTGATCCTCAAGAGAAATTATTTGGACACAGTAGCTCACACGTCACAACGTTTTATAATTACAAAGAGAAAAAATGTAGATGTTAATGATAAATTCAAAATAAGTAGTAACAATATCAAGAGACTGGTGTCAAATAAAATAAAATAGAACTAAGTTATATATCTGTTGTTGTCTTTAGAAGTTGTTGTATTGCAGCTTCTTTTTGTGTCATTAGTTTTTGTTTAATGCCCCTCCCTGTATCAATATGTAACATGCTGTCCTTACCTTGATGAGCGTGAACCCTTGTTTGGTGGGCAGGGTAATGGTGGCGGGCGGGGACTGTGTGACAGCTGGGGGAGCCTGCTCATTGGTGGAGAGCACTTTGATGAAGTCCGTTGTCGTTGGAGTGCTCACCGGGACCGCCTATAGACAGACACAAAATTGCTCTGTAAGATAAACATGTTCAAAAAGAGATGGATTTTAGCGCTGCAATTTGGGGCAAAAATATAATATTGAAAAGAAATGTATTTTTTAAGGTTTCCAACTGTTGAAAAGTAAGATTCTGTTAAGAGTGCACATTGTAAACAACTGCAATAACATTTGGATGAAAACAGAAATATGAACTGATAAATGAATCCAAGAATTCCATGTATTTGTCAGGGTTTAATCTACAGATACAAGACTTTTCTATAAAAAAAACAGGATATTTTGCAGGGTTGGGACAAGACGGAGATCGAGTCTATGAGAATGAGACAAGACAAGATTTTGAAACATTTGTAATAAATTGTCCAGTCCAGTTCAGGTCACAATTGTTTTATTTATTCTGTTTAATACTTTGTAATTATAGTCCTGTGTTTTGGAACGACAGCTCTCAAGGAGGTATAACTCACTACCACTTAACTTTGTTTTCTCCAATCCAAATGTAAACACATGGAAAGAAAACCTCCCAAGATAATTTTCCACATATGTGCACGGTTTTGTGGCATTTTTGTCTCACGAAACTTCTGTCACGAGATCTGGTCCCATCCTTAATATTTTGTGTTTAGCAAAGGACATTCTGTCAACTAAATAAATTGAGACTTTGTGATTTGATAATTGCACCGACTCAAATTGTGATTTCGATTCGATTGTGATATAAAGTGCAGCTCCAATAGATATCAAAAAGATGTACCATGAGAGGTTAATTACCATGGAAAAAAAACACATTACCTTATATTTTGGTATTTAACCTCCTAATGTAGCATCTGCAATGGTTTATTCTGTTTTTTTTTTTTACTTTTAAACAGATCACAGACCACATTGTTGTCATATTTTAGCTTGTGCTCTGACCTGGAGGATGGTGGTTGGGAGCTGTGGCGCTGTTTGGACCACGGAGGGCGTCTCTGGTGGCCGGCTGTCCCCCGGTGACGGCACGGAGCTCTGGGACTCCTGGCTGGCCGGCTGCTCGGGGGACAGGGCGTCGCTGCTGTCCTCGTCCAGTACTTTGGGATAGTTCACCTGCCCCACTATGAAAAGAATAAAGTACACACATTTTTAAGTATACAGTTGATCCGTCTGAAGCTAAGTTACACAATCGGACTAGAAAGAACTGACTTGAAGGAAGGCTGGAAGTACAACAGGCGAGGTGATTTGTGCTGTTACACAAGTCCCTCTCAGATTACTTTTTTAACTCTATACTTCATTTTTCTTAAGTTTTCAGATCATCTTAAACTGTTTTTGCAGCGTGACGTCATTGCACAGTTTCGATTCCTCAGAACAGTACTGTCATGTTTACCTATGATGGCTTGTTTGAGGGTGGAGTCCACGGGCAGAATGTTCTTCTCCACCAGCTCCATGGGCCCTGGTCTCTGGGCAATCTTCTCATTCAGGTTGTCGGCCAGGCGAGCGCGCTTCAACTTCATCTGAGTGGCTTGTAATGACGGCTCTGCTCCGGTTTCTAAAGACGAAAAAAATTGTGAAAATGTAGGATTCGGCCTGTGTGTGGTGTATTGTGTGTGAAACTGCCCGAATTGTTTTTATTCATGGAGTGACTGATTTAAATGGACAGTCACAGCTAGTATAATACTAATGGGAGCAGCTTAGTGCATATTGCTGCTTAGGCTCTAGTCTAGAGTTGCGAGATGATTTCAACAGAGGTGAAAATTTAAAAAAGTAAAATAGGTAAAGTACTGTCCTCAAGTATACATTTTAGGCATCCGTAATTCACTTAAATAGATTTGAAAGAGGATCCTTTACTTCACTACATTTGAGAGAAGGCATCTGTAATTTCTAGTCCACTATGTTTTTCTGCTGGACTGAAATGTTTTTTGTTTTTTATTATTATTGAGACCTGCTGACAAAGGCTGAGGGATTTATTTGTTAAGACATCAGCAGTTTGATCAAACAAAAATATACAAATAAACAAATAAAAACAGCTAGGGGAAAAAACGCCTGATTCAGTTGTTTCTACTGAACAAAATTCAATCTTTTAGTAGTTTGGCCGTTTCTGTCTTGAAAAGTTTGTGAATCCCTGCTCTAGATATTTCTCAAAATTCTATTAAAAATGATTAAATTTTGTTCACTACCAACCCTCTATTTTAAGTCTTTTTCAGTCCTACAGAAAACACTACGGCAAAGTATATATCAGCAAAAGTACACAGATAAAGGAAATAAATAAGATACTATGGGACGTCTGCATCTATTGTCTAGTTGTTTATTAATAGTATTCTATAGTATCCCGTAGCTTCTAGGAATAAGGAACTGTTTTCAAACTGCATGGGAAAGTAGATGCTTGTGCTAACTGTATATAGTGTCTATAAAGTATCTGTATGCAAATAACTGTTATGTAACCCCGTATTTTTATGGATGCCATATTTTTAAGTTTAGAACATGATTGGCTGTTGACAGATGATTTGTATACAGTTTATGGTGAAACTGTGTGTGGAAACTTTTGACTGCAGTATTTGAATATAGAAATGAAATCTGATTTAAAGAGGGCGTACTTTATTTTAATGCGGTATTAACTGCTAAAGCATAACATATTTAGATCACCGTGTTACCTTCTATTGTTTTGAAAATCAAAATAAGTCTCCACTCCCTTTGCTAAGTCACTCACCATTCAGAGCGCTGTCAAAACATAATAAGAATGTGTTCCTCTAATTTAACTACAGAGCATCACATCAGGTTTGTCTGGTTGTACAGTTTTTTATCATGCTTTTGTACTGTATTTTCTGCACTATTAGGCGCTCTGGATTATAAGGCGCACTGTCATTTAATGGTCTATTTTCAAACTTTTTTCACATATAAGCCACACCGGACTATAAGGCGCATTAAACGAAACACAACAGTTAGATGGGTCAGTTGGACTTTGGTGCGTTCACAGTGACTCTCGGCTTTGTTCAGTTGAGGCGCGTGGGGAGGGTGCTGTGTTGTGGCTAGAAGTGGCACGTTGCACTCGCTTTTTTGGTTCCTTCCTCCGTTCCGTTCCTCGTCCGCGTGCAGCTGCGGGTGTTTTTCGCTGCGCGGTCGCTGTCTGCTCCGTGCGTGTTTGCATGCACTGCGGGTGGTGTGGCTTTGTAGTTTATTGAAGTCGAGCTGGGACACCCGAGTGGATTCTTGTATAGGGCGCTTTGGATTGTGGGGCATGCAGTCGTTTTTTTAGGGGGGTTGGAGGCTTATGAGTGCGCCCTATAGTGCGGAAAATACGGTACATTTATGGAAACATTGTCATGTTTGTACAGAATTTTACAGCTAGGGTTTGAACATTGCCCACAAGAGATCGCTAGATTACTCAAACAAAAATTCAATTTTGCGCAATACCCCTCTTTAATCCAATATTCTGAAGTACCTTGGAGGATGTGCATTCTGACCAGCTCTGCCCTCTCCGGACGACTGCGGATTTTGTGCTTCAGAAAGTTCTCCGTCTAAGTGAAGAGGAGACACTGTTATTACACAATCACTTTATTTTCCAAACATTTCTTTACTTTGGTTTATTTGAGGTCTCGTCTCACCCTGGCCCTCTCCAGACTGCGGATCTGTCCGTGGAAAGCGGCTGGACTCTTCAGAGCTGCCAGAGACAAACGTCATTAAAGAGCGATGAAAAAAGTCCATTGTGTTTGTAAGTGATACGATTGAACAGAGAAAACATGTTTATTTTTCTATTGTCTTATCATAGCTGAGCGGGGCTGTTATTCTGTTCCGCCCACGCTGAAGCTGCCTCTCACTGTGGCGTACAACTGTCTGTGGCATTACAACTTTCAAACTCTTATTTTTATAGCAAATTTCGATGATCAAAACACATTTTAAACCAGGTGAAGATAAAAATATGATGACCAAAGATGGAGAATATTTAAAGGCTATTTTCTGATCTTTTTCTGCTAAAATAAGAGTTATATATTTAGGAGTGTATATGCTCTGAAACAGAGCAAAGGATCATGGTCTATGTAGTTCCCTGTTGCTACAACAATACAATACTTATGGTGAAGTAGATTGTAATCCAATATATTGTGACCTGACATCCCATGATAATATTGTGAGACTTTTGATGAAATTATTACACAGTATTTTGACTATATTGTTACATCCCTAAAAAAAACAGTGGCTTTGCAAAATCAAAATGAAATGAACAATAAATAATTTGTGAGTTTTATCATTAATACATGCAGTTTTTAAAAGGTCCTATAAATAAAATTTACTCTTGTGAGCATGTTAAAATTCTGTTACCTCATCAAAAACACACCTGTTGTTGTGTTTTGTTTCATTCACACATGATTAATACACAAAAACTGTAAATTTAGTTGAGAGTTCTTATCTCAAACACAAAAACAAAACACAATTGTTATGTTGTGTGATAACACAGGAATTGCTCAACTGTATTTTTAAACACAGTTCACTAGAATAATTTAGATGATTTCAGATCTGGAATTACCAATCTCTATTGAAATAAAGTTAAAAGGTCAATTTCTGCTTCATAACATCACAAGGTAGAATAGAGCATTTTGAGCTTTGGAGATGGAGACTGGCTAATAATAAAGGGTTACTCAAATATGTCTGAATGAAACAAAACACAAGTGCATTTTAACATGCTCACAAGAGTACATTTTATTTAATATAGGACCTTTAAGAACTGCATGTATTAATAATGAAACTCACAAATTATTTATTGTTTATTTCATTTTGATTGTGCAAAGCCACTGTTTTTTAGGGATGTGACAATAGAGCCAAAATACTGTGTTATAATTTCATCAAAAGTCTCACAATATTATCATGGGGTGTCAGGTCACAATATATTGGGAAGTATCGTATTGTTGTAGCAGCAGGGAACTACACAGACCACGATCCTTTGCTCCATTTCAGAGCATATACACTCCTAAACACATAACTCTTATTTTAGCGCTTTGGATTATGCCAGTAGTGATTCACACCAAAGACCAAAAAGAAAGAGAAGCATATCTAGATTACGGTCTTCTCTCGAAAATATTGCAGCAAATGAGTATGTAGTAGTAGTAGTAGTACTGTGAAATGCTTATATGACAATGTTGTACTGTGAGAACTGGACATGGTTACATTCCTACATTTTGGTTCCAAGATATTTTTGGCATGTTCTGGAGCCTGTATAGTCCAGAAGATGATTAACGATGATTAAAATAGATTGTTTAAGAGTCGATTAGTCAAGACAGCTGTAGAACTTCCTGTGCTGTCACTGTAATTACTAAACGAACTAATCGTTCTGTACAATAAATGGAGCTAAAGTTTTCGGAGCAGTCAGTATTCATCATGTAGCTTCGTGTGGAGACATACACTACCAGGAAAAAGTGGATACATTTTGGATACATATGGAAGACATCAAATATTCAAAGTGTGACATATGGAGTTATTTAGTAAAGACAAAGTCTACTAAATATCTTTCGACCAATCAAAGAGGTAGCTACTTTGATTATTTGAATATATAATTTGAAGAGTTATTTACCTTTTTTCTTTTCTGCTAAATAATTCCAAATATATTACTTCATATATTTGACATCTTCTGTGTGTATAGAAAATGTAGAAAGTAGTAAAATAAAGACACTGAATGAGATGGTGTGTCCAAACATTTGACTGGTAATGTATTTGTTATTCTTTTAGTCACATGATCACACTTGAGCATGTTATGACTAGGGATGCACTGATCCAGCTTTTCCAGTTCCGATACCGATTCTAATACTATATCTAAGTATCTGCCGATGCCCGATATCAACTGATACCAGTGCAGAGACTAAAACAGCATTTACTTCCTTTAAACAAATATAAAAAAGACAAAATTGATAACTGATTTAATGCAGTGGCGGAGTAAGGAATTTGAGGGCCCTAGGTGAACTTGAGTTTGGGGCCCTCACTATAATGCACTGTTTTGTTGTTGTTGTTGTTTTGTATTTTTTAATATGTATTGTCTGTTTTTTTTCCCATTGTTCTTGAGACAAGCACATCTTTATTTGAATTATGGTGGATTGAAAACTTGTCTTATTCGTTAGGTCGCCTACTAGATAACCAAAGCTGAAAGTAGTTTTATTTTTTTGTACAATTAAATTTTTGTTTACATCCATGACATATGATTATTATTATGCTTATTATGATATATAATGATTATGTTCAAATCAGGGTCAAGCTGACTAGTCCATTCTAACGTAAAAGGGGGAAATCCTTTGACAGTTAAAGTAGATTTGACAATCAGATACTATTTTGCTGGTGTTTTCTTGTTTAAAAGTAAACCACTCTCATTTAATATTCATGTCATATTGATAGAAAATCAAATTGCTCTTAGGTTTGGGCATTTAGTTGCACTGGTCGGGGGCCACTCCAGGTTTGTGGGCCCTTAGCGGCTGCCTACTGTTGCCTAATGGAAGCGCCGCCTCTGATTTTATGCTCCCTCAAGTTGCTACTGAACAGAATTGTAGAAATAAAAGTTCAAACATCATGAGACTTTCTGGGCCAAATGTCACCAGTAAATAGTCTTATTTCTAGGGCAGGGTATCATTAAGAAGTTGCCATATGCAACGATACGATACATACCTCGATGCATATGCAACGATATGATACATATCTCGATACAGTGCACTTTTGATTCGATACGATATATTTCAAAACAATTTAATACAGTTCAATAAAAATAAAGGCTAAATCATGGCTGTGATACTAAAAGTCTTTGTTAAACCACTTCTTCAGCAAATTTAATATGAAAAAAGCTAATTTTAATCCTCAAAACAGTGAAAATGTCAAATGTGTTGCATAAACGAGTTTCCTTCCTCTAAACAAGAAACAAAACTGTAGCGCTGTAACAAAGTAACTCCTAAAATGCACAAAAAAATACTCTTGGCGATATATCGATGCAGCAGCCTATGATATCGATACTGTATCATCACATTAAATGATACGATATATCGATCTCTCGATATTTTTGCACATCCTTACTTATTACATCAATTTTGTTTTCTTAGGATATCAGCTGAACCGATATTTGAAAGCCGATAACCGATCCAGCAAATATTTCAGTATCTGCACCAATATCAGATACCAGTATTGTATCGGTGCATCCCCAGTTACGACTCATTATAGATACCAACAAACTCCTTTCACGCTCCTATTTATTTGTCACAGCTCATGTTTTTAATGATATTTTCCTTTATTATTCTGCATTATTGTCACTGTCATCCCACATATTTTCTCTTTCGTAATATACTGCAAACTTGAAACTTTGTTGTGGTGACTATGTGGTCTTATCCAAATGTGTGTGTGGCATTACTCACGCGGCATGATGCCCTGATCCACCAGCTGCTCTCGGGTGCGTCTCTGCTGGAGCCTCAACTGCAGCACTGAAAGAGCCATCGACACAAATGCATTATTGTACGATCTAACATTATAAAGAGGAAATCAGTGAGTCAAAACATACACTGAAAAAGGGAAGACAGGCAAAACCACGAAAAACAAGGTGAAAGACTCTTGCTAATACAATGACTACACCGCGTCACTTTGAATGGGGGATTTTGCTTCAACACTACGTCATTACTAAGGTATTTTAAAGCTTGAGGTTGCAGTTAGACGAAAATGCCAAGATTTAAGAGTTGCTGGTTGTACAATGTTGTTGGTCATTTGTCTGCTTTTTTATATACAGATTTTATAGTTCTACACCTGATTTTGTAGCTTCAATATGAAACAACAACTAGTTTTACAAAATTGCAACGCCCACATATGTATTAGGAAGATATGTTAAATGTACACTATGCAGGATTCGATGGAGGAACATTCTGCAGGGAGATAAACCAGTTTTATGTCATGCTGTGGAATATTAGAACTAAAGGAAGAATATTTCCATGGAAACAAGCAGGAAGAGGCTCTCCTCCAAGTCAAATAAGAGTCAGGTTTGTGGAGATCCAAGCCGGATCACACATGGACACATGTTTTTCAACAAATTTTCCAGTGGAGTTAACACAACCCAAATGAGTTTCATACTGTGGCTTTAAAACTTAATTATTGTGCAGCTTCAAACTTTGAGACAGACGACCTCAGACTATAACTTGCACACTCACAACTCAACTCACAAAAATATGAAGTGAGCTTGACTTAAATTTCTTTTTGGGTCAAATTTAAACAGATTATAAAGTGGAAAACAAAACCATGCAATTCTTCCTCTTTATTTCATTTCTGCATTCCAACTAAAGACACTTCTTCATAAAGTGCTATCCATCCAAATCAAGAAGGCAGCAATTTTTGAAGAACCAGAATTTCTATCACAAACCTGACAAAGACCTGCTAGACCGTGTAGTTTTCAGTTGTACAAGCATGTTCTGAAAAGTGATCTTGTATTCATTTGCGAGCTCATATATCAGTCTTTTTGTCAATTCTTCTTCACATGTTAATAATTTTTACAAATGGCACTTAGTTATATTATATTATTTTTCCATCTTTTCATACCTCACCAACTTAAATCTTAAAACTTACCTCTCCGCAAACTACTACAGCAGTCCCTCACCGTCTCTACTTCTGTAAAGGCCATTATAGCAGTGCAGAAGTCCTTACTCCTTTAAAACCATAGAAAGCTCCATTTAAATCCACCGTTCATCTCTCGGCAGCCAGATGATGGAAAAATCAAATCCTCAGCCCCATCGCCCGGTCCCCTATCCCAACCTAGCATTATTTTATTAGAACTGCCACCTCCTCCCCTCTAACTCTTACTTCCCCCTGGCTCGTGGTTGGTTATTTTTCTATGAGGGTGATGTAAACACGGCCAGATGTTCTAAACTCACTTCCCCGTGGCTACAGAGAAGAGTTTGAGTCAGCGCAGGAGAGTAAATGCCAGACAAAGATAACAAACAGCTATTGTGGAAGATCTAATGGCGTTTTCACAAGAGATTCTGTTGTGTCTGCTGATTATGTCCCATGTGTTTTAATGCTAAAGCGATTTTGTAAACTGTCAAATACTCAAAGTACACAACCAGTCAAAAGTTTGGACATACCATCTCATTCATGTTTTATTTTTTACTCTACCTTAGAAATTAGTAAGAAAAAAGGTAAATAACTACTAAATATTTATTGGAAATTTGAAGATTTGGTTAGAAAATCTTACAAAAAAAAACTTGTAGTGTTATTCATCTTTTTTTTGCTACATAACTCCATATATCTTACTTCATATATTTGATGTCTTCTGTATGTATACACAATGCAGAAAGTAGTACAAATAAGGAAAAAAAAACACTGAAACCTTTGCCTGGTATATGTCCCAAATGTTTTGAAGGTAATACGATTTTCTATGTTGTCAAAGACTCAAAGTACACGACCAGTCAAAAGTTTGGACATACCATCTCATTCATGTTTTATTTTTTACTCTACCTTTAGAAAGTAGTAAGAAAAAAAAAAAAAACTCAAAAAGAACTACCGTATTTTTTGGACTATAAGTCACATTTTTTTCATGGTGTGGATGGTCCTGCGACTTATACTCTGGTACGACTTATATATAAAAATTTTCAGACTGACAGCCGCGAGAGGGCGCGCTAGGCTTGTGTGTCAGTACCTAGTATTACTATTACTCCTGTACCACTGTCACTTCACTCTACTGCGCATGTCTCCTGTAGAAAAAGCCGCTATCTTGCTGCAAATAGTGAAATATGCAGCCGAAAATGGTAATCGAGCAGCAGACAAAGTTTGGAGTGAGCGATAAACTTGTGATGGACTGGTGGAAAACAGTGATGGAGAAAACAGCTTCACGGTAACCGGGCGGTTGCGCCATGCAACTTTCCTGGAAGTCATTGGATAAATCGACAAAGCCTGAACTTTAATGACAACTGAAACCATCCTGTCGGGATTCAGAAAGGCTGGAATAATTCTAAATGGAAGTGATGCCGAGTCTGACGACAGCTACACAGAAGAGGAAGTGGCGCTCCATTTACAACATGGTTCTATGGTTTATCTTCGGAGGTCGCACCAAAGTGACACTGACGATGAAGAATTCAATGGATTTAGAGTGAGATTGTGAGTTTGGTAAACTTATGTTATGTTGTTTATGCTATAATTATCTGAATATGTTACGTGAACATATTAACACCTATTCAGCCTGTTGTTCTCTGTTGTTATTACTATAACTTGCCTTTCAAGGTGAAATGTTGGTTCCTGGTCTCTGATTTTATAAAATACATTTCCCCAAAAAGTGCGACTTATATATGTTTTTTTCTTCTTCATTACGCATTTTTTGGCTGGTGTGACTTATATTTTGGAGCGACTTATAGTCCGGAAAATACGATACTAACTAATAAATTACTACTAAATATTTATATGGAAATTTGAAGATATGTTTAGAAAATATTATAAAAAATGTTTTTGTAGTGTTATTTATCTTCATTATCATCTGTTACTACATAATTCCATATATCTTACTTCATATATTTGATGTCTTCTGTATGTATAAAAATGCAGAAAGTACTACAAATAAGGAAAAAAAACACTGAAACTTTTGCCTGATAGTGCATGTCCCAAGTGTTTTAATGCTAATACGATTTTCTATGTTGTCAAAGACTCCAATTACACAACCAGCCAAAAGTTTGGATGCACTGCTTTCTTTTGTTTATCACTTCTTACATTGTAGTTTCTCACTGGAAGCTTATAAATAAACTTGTTTTAGATTTCACACTTCTTAAAATAGCCACCCTTTGCTTTGATCACCGCTTTGCACACTGTTGGCATTCCACTAATGAACCCTGACAAGGCTCTGTGAAGTCTAGGGCTGTAGATGTTTAGCCGCTTAGTCGATGTTGTCTTGAAATATGTTGCCTTATTATTTCAATTTAGATTAGAAGGATTCATATGGGACTGCAGCAGAAAGAGGTTAGGAGAGGTTAGTGACGGAACTGGTGAATTCAGAAGTTTAATCTGTCTTTATGTCTGTCTTTATTATTTTTTGTATAATAAATAATTGTTTTTGCATGAACTAGAATCAAAGCCCAGTTGTAGTCCTGTGAGTGCAGATACACAGAGATACGTAATAGTCTGAGGTTGCAGTTAGATGAAGAGATTTAAGAGTTGCTGGTTGTACAATGTTGTTTGTCGTTTGTCTATTTTTTTATATACAGATTTTATAGTTCCACACCTGATTTTATAGTGTAATTTTGTTCAATACGAAACAATAACTAGTTTTACAAAATTGCAGTGCCCACATATGTATTAGGAAGATACGTTGAATGTACACTATGCAGGATTCGACAGAGGAGAATTCTGCAGGGAGATAGACCAGTTTTATGTCATGCTGTGGAATATTACAGCTAAAGGAACAATATTTCCATGGAAACAAGCAAGAGGGGGCCCTCCTCTAAGCCAAATAAGAGTCAGGTTTGTGGAGATCTAAGGCTGATTACCATAAGGACGCATGTTTTTCAACAAGTTTTCCGTTGCAGTTAACACAACCCTGAGAACTTTTTGCCACGCACCCTTTTTTGTCACCAGGACCAGGACCATCACTACCCAGGCTGGCATCACCTAGTGCCTCCGCTCAATTTAATTTCTCTCCAGCAACTAGGTCAGGAATCAAAATACACTAGGCGGTTTGCAAAAATCCCGAAAGTGTGAGTTCGGGCACCAGCCAATCAGCGAAGAACCATATATTCAATGTTGTCAACGATTCCTATGATCGAGGATTTATAGCCGGAATAAAGAGAATGTTTGGTGAATTTCATCAAGGGGAAAGACATTATTGCCCTTCTTCCTATGGGATTTGGGAAACGCTTAATATACCAGTTAGCCCTGTTAGTGGCGCATTACATACGTGACTACCAAAAAACAGCAATTGGTCAAATGATAAAAAGTACCCGCCTACCGTCAAGCGAACAAATTCTAGCCTGTGATGAATCAGGCTAGGAAGAGGCCCTCCTCCAAGCTAAATAAGAGTCAGGTTTGTGGAGATCCAAGCCCGATCACCATAAGGACACCAGTGCAATTAACACAACCCTGAGATATTTTTGCCATGTAACCTTTCTTGTCACCTAATCCATCACCAGGACCCAAATTTTCTTTAGTCGAAGTGAAAACTATTTCAGGGGACGTCATAATGAAGCTCACTGAGAGAAGGACAAAGGTTTACAGCACTGTCAACAAAGCAAATGTCTGAGGAATTTTAAACCAATTATTCAGCTATTTAATGTTTTTTTCATTGTTACATAATTCCACATATCTTGCTTCATATATTTGATGTCTTCTCTATGTATAAAATGTAAAAAGTAAGTAAAGAAAATCTTGGAAAAACTTGGAATAAGGTGTCCAAACTATCGACCTGTAGTGTCTGTTACAAAATGGCTGCAAAACACAACACTATATGGACAAAAACGTATGTAATAAAGATTTCATAAGAATTTCGCCTTTGCTCAGCAGAGACAGAAACTGAACTAATATGTAAACTATTATAGTAGTCAAAGTCTTAACATGTGCTTTCAACTCCACAGCCGAGCCAAATAACAGCAAGTCAACTCTTAAAGGGCCGGTACGCTTTTTTGACGCTGTTGTTTATATTAATCCAATCCTCTTTATTTCTATAGCACATTTCACAAACAAAGTGCTGCACAAATACATAATAATAACAACAATAATAATAAAATGATAAAATAAACACTCAGATTTAATCATACTAATCTTAAAATAATAAAACCAGTAAAATAAAATAAGAGCAAAATAATACAATAGCAATAAATAAAACCAACAAAATACATAAAAAATAAATAAAATAAATATAATAAATAAAAGACACAGAGGACCACACAACTCACGTGGTGTTAAAAGCCAGAGAGTAAAAGTGGGTTTTAAGACAAGATTTAAAACACTCCACTGTGGGGGCTGTTCGGTGTGAGGGGGCAGAACGTTCCAGAGCTTTTCTCAACGTATTGATAGCATTAAAAAGGTAAATGTATTGTTCTTCCACACAGATATATTGTAAAATCAGCTCAAATGATCTAATACACGCATCACAAATTTCAGACTTCCAATCATTGCTCAATGGATACTGGGAAGGATTTTCTGAAAAAGTGAGCATCAAATCACCATGTTTGTTTTCCCAGTGGGATGTGTCTATTGACAAAGCCGATCTTTTCTAGTCTTTTGAACCATATCACTTTTGTGTCTGGTTCTGATATTGTCATGTTTCCCTTCCCAACGGAATTGAAAAATAGTGAAAGGTGAAGGCGATGGGCAGTATTGATCCACAGGAAAGACCAAGAAGGAAACCTTTGAACTGCCTAAGAAATCATCCTGAGTTTGCAGTGAACATTTTGTATGTGGAGCGACATCAAAGCAAAACCCCGATACCTCACTCAACCTTGGTTACGAATTTAAAAAGTCACCACCAAAGCGAAAGGCAACAGCTGTTCGCCAAGAAACACCTTCCACTGCAGCGACCAAGACGTGATGTTGCTGTAAAACCACAAGAACAAGAAAGTGCAAGCTCAGCTGGTTTGTCTTCTGCACCTCTCTCTTAACAAATGGAATCCCGCTTTGATGGCGTCCACATACAAAATGTTCACTGCAAACTCGGGATGATTTTTTAGGCAGTCAAAGGTTTCCTTTTTGGTCCTTCCTGTGGATCAACACTGCCCATCGCCTTTACCTTTCACTATTTTTCAATTCCGTTGGGAAGGGAAACAGAGGTTTGCAGTCACACAGATCTGATTCCCTTTTGCATTTATGGAGTTCGCAAATTTCCGAAGCCCATTTCTCGAGGCATTTTCTGC